AATAGAAGGCATCTGCTTTGCAAGAGCAAGCAGAATATCAAATGTATGTCCTTGGTCTGATTCAACCATTCATTCCTCTGAGGCAAATGAGCAAATCATTTAGTCAGCAATTACACTGAACCCAAAAAACTTCCCAGCGAGAGAGCTGGACAGGCCCCGAAAGTCCACTGAAAGAACAGGAAAGCACAGACTAACACTGTCAGCAAACGGGCACCTACAGAGAGGAGAAACCATGCCAGCACTGTGGGGGGAAAGAAGCGTTTCCTTCTGCCAGGTTCACTTTCAGTCAAGTTCCATGCAAAGCAGCTTTGCCTGCAGAACGAGTGGGCAGATGTGGGCTCAAAACAAATGCTAAAATTGGGAGCACTTTCAGCCCACAGGCAGGCAATTTTCAAACTAAGAATACAGAAACAGACACTAGTGATGTGGGTCGTGCAGCGATGCTTAGACTGGTTGCACAGCCATGGCCCAAGAGAACGCTGATGGGGTAAGAGACCCAAACACAGCGAGTGAGCTGCCCCACGACTCTCCTTTCTTGCCTGCTGTTGGTTATGTTTTTTGTTGAGATCTCACCACTGGGTGGAATCTGGATGTGAGCTGGGCTGATATTTGTGCTTTTTAGAAGGACCCAGGATAGCAGAAGGTGGGGACTTCGTGGTAGGAAGAAAGAGGGGCACTAATGAATGTTGGGTGAGCCTGGAACAGATCTGGGGACTGGGTGGGGGTGAAACCAACTGCATTATTTTTCCCTCCGAAGTTCACAGTCTTGCTCATTTTCAGGGATATTTCCTATTTCTCTTCTTTCCCTTCATGTCATTTGAAGTTCTCTTGCCAGGAAATATTGCAAGGCTGGCATTATAACTTCAATGACAATAAAACTGGACAAAGGTTACTAGCATTTTTCAAAGAGGGTACCCTGAAACTGTCTAGCTGGACAGTAGTGAGGGAGACCCACGACCTCAGTATGGGCCTAATGGTGAAGCTGATCTCATGCAATGAGGTTTGTGGAGTTGCATCCTGAGGTGAAAAGCAGAAACTGTACAAACTCTTGGCACAGGGTTTCTTATTCAAGTCTGCCAGCTGTCTTAAGTGTTACCATTATGCAAAGCACACGCAAACATCTTTCAAATTAAAGACAGATCATTGTCTCCCTTTACTTTGCCAACTGGAATTTTCAAGACTAGATAGCAGAGTTAATACGGCAGCACTCTTGGCTTCTGTAGACATTCTGTGCATGCGCGCGTGCGCACACACACACAGGCACAGACACAACTTGTCAGGCTGACACTGAAGTAAAGTGTTTCATCCATGACTTTTCTAGAACTATTCATGATCAGTATTGCCTATATACCAATGCAAAATAAAAGGAAAAACTAGATCTATAATTCCTTTGTTTCACCTTTTCAGAAAAATGCCAAAGAGCTCCCTAGACCCCAGTATAATTCTAAGCTTTCTATTCACAGTGTCTCTTTTATGAGGATCCACAGGATAAATTATTCTCAAGTCTCAGGAGCAAGAAAAGATGTGCCTGCACACCAATCTATTCTTAGCTTTCAATATGAATCACATAACTGATTACATTCAGAACCAAAATCAGAGTGACTTTAGGAACTGCAGAGGACCACACAGTACTCACTTGTTCACTAACCATACCCATGGCCTCATACGATTTTCCTCCATTACCTGATGTCCTTATCTATTTTAGTTTTAATCCAGTGTACCATGTGCCTCTTTGAACTACCACCTTAAATACTTTTAAGAACAAGATGGGAAGTAAATACATTAAAAATAATCAGAAGACAGCTACAGAAAGAGAAAAAAAAATCAAGATGCTGGGCTTCCCTGGTGGCGCAGTGGTTGAGAGTCCGCCTTCCGATGCAGGGGACATGGGTTCGTGCCCTGGTCCAGAAAGATCCCACATGCCGCGGTACAGCTGGGCCCGTGAGCCATGGCCGCTGAGGCTGTGCATCCGGAGCCTGTGCTCCGCAACAGGAGAGGCCACAACAGTGAGAGGCCCGTGTACCACACACAAAAAATCAAGATGCAATGAGGTGGCCAAAAACAAAGTGTTTAATAGAAGGATTGCTGGAGGGGGGCGGAAATCATGGTAAAAATGAGAGATAAAGGGGCACATATTAGTGGGTAGACGTGACTAAGACACATGGGGCAGAGGAGAGGACACCTCTGGAGATGATGTTGGCTCTAATGGGCTTCAACAAGTGCCATGGGCCACACATGGACACAACCCTGGAATGTCCCCACCTCCCACAGTGAGAGGAGCTCTGTATTTAACCTTGACCTGGGAACTGCAAAATCATATTTCTACCCCGCGAACCACGTGGATAAACTGACCCTTGAAATTCTAACTGCAAATCATCTGTTTGGGGAAAATCCAGTGGAGAAACACAGAGGCATTAAGTCCTCAACTTTGGCTATTTCTCTAATGTGAGAAAGAACCTACTATTTCTGCCACACCATTATTCATGGACCCTCTCCATCTGCTGGGCCCTGGTCAGAAATGATCCAAGCTGCTACATAACAAGCTCTCTAGCTGATGCTAGCTGTGCCCACAATGATCCCTGATCCCACCTCTGCCCAACACCTACACTGACAAGTCTTTGCATCCTTTGTCAGTGTCATTCCCTGGGAGCTTGATCTAGTTCTTTCTCATTTATCTTGGTCTCCCCAAGTCTAACCTTTTCCCAGCTTATCATTCCTGGGGAAAAACTAGTGATTCCTCCCAGTGATCACACCTCTATCTGAGACAGCAGGCCAAACAGATGTTACGATATGGTACTGGACCAACGCTATGCACTTTGGGCTTGGACTTCAAAGACCAGAACTAGGGAACTTGGTGACCACTGTGGAACAATCCATGTAAGTGTAAGAATTAATCAAGATGGGTAATGGGCAGCTTGACTGAGGACCTTTAGAACTACGACATGTACTTAGTCTATAATGCACAAAGGAATAGATTTTTCGTTTGCTCCTCTATTCAAGAAAAAAGTTAATACCTATACTACTAAGCATTAGCCAAATTAAAATGCAATCTCTGGGAAATTGCGAAAAAGGAGAAAGATTCTCACTGTACTCCTGTTAGGAGGCCACTATCAAAAGAAAGAAAATATTAAGGGTTGGCAAGGATGCAGACAAATTGGAACTCTGTACACTGTTGATGGGAATGTAAATGATGTAGGCACTATCAAAAACAAAAATTTCCTCAAAAAATTAAAAATAGAATTACCATATGATCTAGCAATCTCATTTTTGGGTATATATGCAAAAGAACTGAAAGCGGGATCTTGAAGAGATAACTGCATACACATGTACACTGCAGTATTATTCACAGTAGCCAAGAGATGGAAGCAACCCAAATGTCCACCAATAGAGGAATGGATAAAGAAAATATGGAGTATATATACAATGGAATATTGTTCAGCCTTAAGAAAGAAGAAAATCCTGGCACATGTTACAGCATGGATGAACCTTGAGGACATTATGCTACATGAAATAAGACAGTCACAAAAAGGCAAATACTGTGTGATTTCACTTATATGAGGCATAAAAAATAGTCAAACTTGGGACTTGCCTGGTGGCGCAGTGCTTAAGAATCCGCCTGCCAATGCAGGGGACGTAGGTTCAAGCCCTGGTCCGGGAAGATTCCACATGTCGTGGAGCAACTAAGCCCGTGTGCCACAATTAATGAGCCTGCGCTCTAGAGCCTGCGAGCCACAACTACTGAGCCCACATGCCACAACTACTGAAGTCTGCGTGCCACAACTACTGAAGTCTGTGTGCTTAGGGCCCATGCTCAGCAACAAGACAAGCCATCACAATGAGAAGCCCACACACCACAACGAAGAGTAGCCCCTGCTCACCACAACGAAGAGTAGCCCCTGCTCACCGCAACTAGAGAAAGCCCGCACGCAGCAATGAAGACCCAACACAGCCAAAAGTAAATAAATAATTTTTTTAAAAAAAGTAATCAAACTCATAGAAACAGAAAGAAGATGGTGGTTGCCAAGGGCTGGGGGGGAGGGAGAAATGCAGAGTTGTTCAATGGATGTAGAGTTTCAGTTTTGCAAGATGAAAAAGTTCTAAGTATGTATTGCACAACAATGCGAATATACTTAACACCACTGAACTGTACACTTAATGGCTAAGATGGCCAAAAAGAAGGAGGAGGAAGAGGAGGATTCTTCAGGAGAGTTTTAATAACTTTACTAGATGCTAGAAAGCCCCAGGAAGACTAGTAGCAGGGTTTCCTCTACAGAGCTGCACATGGCGTCAAAACTGGACAAAAGCTGCCCCTTCAGAAGCATTGGTCACTCCTGCTCTCAGAAATGGGTTTCACTACTAAGCCCAAGATGGTGGAAGATCTGACTCCCAGGAGACCTTGAGCCTCATTATACACCCATTGTAATCCATTAACACACTAAATGGCACACCCACCAGTGCCATGACAGTTCCGAGGCTGACCATAAAAGGCCAAAAAGTGGGCGGTGGCCCAATTCCTGGAAATCTCTGCTCCTTCCCCAAAGTAGCTGGAATAATCCTCCCACTCGTTAGCCTATGAAATTACCCAGCCCATAAAAACTAACGGCCCCAACACCAGGGGCCACCTCTCTCGCCTTCTGTCTATGGAGTGTGTATCTCTCTAAATAAACCTGCCTTCACTTTACTATGGCTCACTCTTGAATTCTTTCTTGCGCATAGCCAAGGACCCTCACTTGGTGGCCTGTCCCAGGGACTCACTTGAGACCTGGGCCATGACCATCCTCTGGTGCCCCATTTTTTTCCCACAACACAACCCATTTATCCATTCTTCTTGGCTCATGTCAATGACACTTCCTGATTCTGCTCAAACATTATCTTCCCTGCTTTTCACCTTCTGGAGCACTCCATCTATACCTCTTGTACCATCTGCCCTTATACTTATGTTTTTTCCACCTTCTCCAGGGAACTATATATAAGGGGCCTGGGAACCATCTTATTTACCATTATGGACCCTGTAGCACAGCAACCTGCACAAAGAAGGTGGTCACACAATGACTCCTGAACAGACCTTACTGTGTTCTCATCCCAGCCTCAGGGGCAATCAAACCAAAGCCTCAGTCACAAATGTCTGGCACTAAAATACTTATTCCTAAAGCTCCCCTAACTCAAAATAACATGAGAAACCAGACTTACCTCCAGGTTTCCCCTCTCCTATTTAATACAACCCAATAAAGGAGGGGGAAAGAACTTTCCATATTCTGAGAAGTTCCTGTTTCCCAGGGCGCTCTGGCCCAGAGGGGAGGTTTGAGATAAGCCTCCCAAAGTCATTCCCACCTTGGAGATTCCCAAGCACTGGTCTGCATCAAACCCCAGATGCACCTGTCACCTTGTGCATCACCTCATTATTCCCAAGAAAAATCCATCCTGATTCTACTAAAGCTTGTTGTTCTAATGACTTTTTAATTATCTTCCCCCTTTCATCCTCCTGAGTTGCTAACGTGTCAATTTCAAGAATTTCTTGTTTAAATGGGTGCTCCTTTTGATGATGATAACCGCTCCAGTTAAAATTCCATTAAGTACTTCACTCAGAAAGCTTATTTAAGTGATCTGAGCTAGAAACTACATAGAATCTTGAAGCAGGTAGAAAAGCAGGGGTCTATGCTTCCATCTGGGTGATCCTCTTTAAAATCTGGACACTTTGTCTGACTTATTGCCCAATTTTTTATTATGTTATCAGTAAAGAAATCAGGTACTATATAGTAAAAAAAAAAAAAAAAAAAAAAAAAAAAAAAGCTGTTTGCTAACTTGGCCATGAAATCTTGTTTATTTTCATCACAGAAACACTGGATTATAAAAGAACAAGGATGACCTCCTCCAACCCCTATGTTGTACCAAGCTGAGGAGAGTAGGGAGATGTGCCACGGGAATCCTTGATTAGTCCCCTGAGAGCTTTGCCTGATTTATTCATTTAACAATTTACTACCTGCCAGGCACTGGCCAAGGCACTGACAGTACAGAGGTGAACAAGACAGACAAGGTTGCTGATCTCATGAGCTTATATAGGAAGACTGTCCAGGCAGAGGGATAAACAAGTGCAAAGGCCCTGAGGCAGAAATGACCCAGGTGTTTCTGAGACACAAAAAGGAAATCAATGTGACTGTAGCTTAGCCGATGAGGGAGCGTAGCAGGAGCAGGGGTTAAACAGAGAGACAGCATCCAAGTCTCATAGGATCTGAAGGCCTTGGGAAGATAAATGTGCTTTATTCTAAGTGTGATAGGAAGTCATTAGAGAATCTAATCAGGAAACCAGATGATCTAATTCACATTTTTAAAAACCACTTCGGTTGTGTCATGGAAAATGAACACTGTCTCAGACTTAACTTTTCTCCCTATATCTCTGTTGTAATAGGGAGTGTTGCCTTGGAAACTAAACTGAAGAAGTCATCTTAATGACCTAGCTTCCAGGCTAGGTCGTCACATTAGCAGGGAAAGGCTGGAAGCAGTACAGGTGCTTAAGGTAGACATTGGAGGAGGAGAAGGCTCTGAGGCTCAACGTCATGGATGAGGACCATGGTAACCTATCTCTATGCCAAATATCATGCTATGCTCTTTAGCCAACCAGCCTTAATTCCACCAAGAACCTTCCAGTGATAACACTTTAGATGACACCATTCTTCCATAGACAACTGACTGCAATTAGCCTTTTATCATAGAAGGCGGCTAACCTAGCTCTCCTTCCACAAAGGCTAGAGGGAACTACAGGAATTTTTTCTAACTAGCCATTGTATTCATTCTACTTTCTATGCAGAAGTAGGAAAGTTGTAAAGAAAGGAAACTAGGGCTCCAGAAGGAATGGTGGGGAAACAGGGGGCCAGCAAATGCGGGGTATGGCAGCTGGATAATACCTCTTTGAATACTTCGTTTTAGCTTGTTACACAGATCCACGCGGGGGTTAACTACATGCTCTTCTACAGATCCTGGGCTTTGTTCTGGAGAAGAAAGGCCTCGGCTAAGATCCAGCGGTACTTTACCAGTGTGTGGTGGTGGGGATGCAGCAGGGCTGTGAGTGGTGGTGGGACTGCTGGACGCTGAGCAGGTGGTCAGGTCCAACGCTCCTATCCTTGAGTTCAAGGGAGAAGTCAAGGACAACTTTCTGGCCCTCACTGGGGAGGACGTTCTGGACACAGCCAGTGGTGGTGGGGAAGAGAATTTGCGACACAGGCGCGGGGATTTGCCATCCACCAAGTGTTCACCTCTGCTATTCTGGCTGGTAGCGAAAAACAATTCCAACGACCTAAAAATAAGAGCAAAAGCTATTAACAGGTTGTAGCCAAGTGAAAATGAGTCCCCTGATGTCATTCAAGAACACGCTCCCTACATTAAAAGGCCACAATATCATCATACTTCTGTTGCTGGATTCACCTTCATTTAAATGCTGCATGTATACTACACACTTGCCAAAGGAACACAGACAGTATTTAGGCGTAGTCTAATCCCCTGCAACTAAACTGCGGTCCAAAGACAAGTAACACTGGTAACGGGCTCCACTCCAGACCTACTGAATCAGGGCCTGCAATTTAACAAAAAAGGAGAAAGAAAAGCCCCAAACAATAGAGTTATCTTCCAAATATTCACAGAGCAAGCAAAGGCCACTTGGAAACTTCAACTGCTTCCCTCGGGAACTGTCTGTGACCTCGACTCCCCCGCTTCTACTGGCGGGGCCTGGCAAGTTCAAAGCCAAGCCAGTGCCCTGCAGAGCAGGGCTGCCCATCTGCACAGAGACCCAGGGACCAGGTGGGCCACACTTTCATCACAGGGTAGTGCCGGGCCTACCTGACGGGGATAGAGGTGAAAGGCCTCTTGTATATGTCAGAAAGCTTCCCCAGCACCACGGCTGCCGTCGTGAAAATCCGATAGGTGTGCAGAAAGGTATTGAGGAAATCGATACTAAGAAACCGCAGGTCTGTCAGTCGCTCCAAGAGGCGCTCCACGCTGGCATAACGGATCTGGGGCACTTTGCAGGAGTTGAGTGTTTTACTGAAGCAAATGTCAGTGTCATCCTTGTGAAGACGGGCATCAGACCTACGCACAAGGCAGGAACATGAGGACAAAACCAGGGCGCGGCTACCTCTCAGCCCCTGAGTATCTCAATATTTGTAAATATATACTCGTGTCTGGGCTTCCCCTTACATTTGATGAAAGATGTGATAGGACATATTACATACAACAAAGCAGGGCTATAAAAACATCAAATGTGCCATTATAATTTAGGAAGTTCAGAATTAATTGTGGAGACGTTAATAATTCATTTCACTCTGTGAATTCCTTCTGCAGGGGAGGAAAAATAATTTTCTCTCCGCTCTCCTGAGTTGTTGGCTGAGACTCTGTGATAAAAGACAGATGAACAAGAGAAGAATAAACAAGTTTACATGGGAGATAACCAGGGGAAAATGAGAAACTCACAGAGGTGGCTTAGAACTCAGACTTAAATACCATCTTATAGGGAAAGGGAGGTGGGGGGGTATGTAGGCCTCTCAGGGGAGAGTAAATGATTTTTAGGAAAGATGAATGAACCCTTAGAATAGATGGAAGGTATGATAGTTTGTGACAGTTTGCCTGGGTGTGATGTCGACATCTAGTCTTTCCTGTGACTACTGTCAATCTTCCATGGTTGGTGAAACTCCTGGGAAGGGGATTTACGACAACTGAGTTCCTTTTGGAGAATCTGTCTTCAGGCAGATGAGAAGAATTCAGAAAAATCCTCTCTCTGCATTTGCTGTTTTTCAAGTACCTATAGCTCAACATAATCAATATGCCACAGTGGCATATTATAGGGTGGCATATTCTGCTACCCTTCACTTCTTTCTCTGGTTCAATCATGTTTTATTAGGAAATTAAAGCCAAAGCCCTATTTAGGAGGGGCACTGCTTATGCCCTCAAATCAGAATATCAGAAGTGTGGTTAAAAAGTAGCAGGTTGGGGCTTCCCTGGTGGCGCAGTGGTTGAGAGTCCGCCTGCCGATGCAGGGGACACGGGTTCGTGCCCCGGTCCGGGAAGATCCCACCTGCCGTGGAGCGGCTGGGCCCGTGAGCCATGGCCGCTGAGCCTGCACGTCCAGAGCCTGTGCTCCGCAAGGGGAGAGGCCACAACGGTGAGAGGCCCGCCTACCGCAAAAAAAAAAAAAAAAAAAAGTAGCGGGTGACATTCTCCCCACAGAGGGGTGGGGAGGAAGAGGAGACCCAAATATCACTGCTGTTATCTGTGGTTATTTCTTTTCCTCGCTTCTAATTTTGTACATCTGTGCTTTCCCCCTTTTTTCTTGATTAAACTAATAGATTATATTATTAGGTATTTTCCCTCTGGCACCAGCTCTTTGATTGATCAATTCTACTGTTTCTCTATATTTTAATTTATTAATCTCCATTCTTATCTTAGTTATTTCCTTCCTACACTTTCTTACAGTTGATTTTTGTCATTCTTTTTCTAACTTCTTGAATGTTAGAAAAAGAATGCTTAATCCATTTCATTCTTTCTGGCTGATAAATGCATTTAAGGCCAACCATTTTCTGATTACAATTTAATCCATAAATTGTGTGAAATGTTGTATTTTCCTTACATTTTCAATATTCTGTAGTGTTAAAAATGTCTTCATAAAAAAGGTAATGGCTGTAATATAGGCAGTCAACTCTTCTAAAGATTTCCCCCGAACAGTGCCCACCTGCCCACCTGCAATGCTGGGCTTTTCTCATTCTCTAAAACCTCCCACCTGGCTCGTCCTGAACCCATCACCCTGAGGCCCTTGCACTGGAAGCCTGCGGCAGCCTCTCCAGGTGGACAGCAAACTGGAGGGAGGATTCACACGGCAGCCCTCGAGATCCTTGGCTGTGCGCAGAGCCCTCAGCCCATGGTGCACCTTTGTTAGAAAGGGCAAAAGAAGCCGGCATAGAGGCCAAGTTCACTAGATGAAAAGCTTGGAAGCTGAGGCTGAATCCAAGTGGGGCTCAAAGAAATGCCTACCTTCGCTAAGACTGCCCGTAGCCTTCACATTCCCATCTGAGACCCCATGTCCCCCTTCATGGCAGCATGTCAGAACAGACAGTCAATGAAGTCCTGGATTTCACCACTTGATTAAAGGATACACTACAGGGCCAGTGATGTTCAGTGAGGCAGCTGCTTGCTAAGAATCAGCTGGCTTGTTGTGAGTGCCCTTAATTAGCCCTTTCAGCACTTCAAGGGATTTTAAGTTATATATTTATTTTCTTTGGGATAAAAAGAGATCAATAGCTTCCTTAGCTTGCTCTTGGAAACGTTCCACCCCAAAGTAAGCTCAGTGCAGATGGAAGGACTTCATTTGCAGGCTTGAAAGAGCATTTTAAATGAGTAGCTTACTTCTGGTGAGGAACTAAGGGTGGCCTGTTAGTTTTAGTCACATCACTGATCTCGAAAACACATAAGTGCATCTTTTGAGATTCTTGAAAATAGCATGGCTCTTTTTTGCACTTAGTATGTGACCCTCAACCAACTTTACTTTTCTGGTTCTTAATCTTTCTCATTTGTTAAAAGACCTTAGAAACTTTTATGAACCAACCAGTCTGTCTAGAGGATGGCTAATCGAGGTAATCACTTTTTCTCCCACCATTTTCCCACCTAAAATCTCTATTTTCTAAGAAAACTGAGGGCAACTATTATTAAAAGAAAGCAAGCGTTAGCCTGTATACATAAAGCATAAAACATCACTTAAAGGGATATAATCACCTAATAAATGTCATGATTTTGCATTCTATTCGTAGTTTTGAGCTTTGCATCTTTTTCTCTTTTTTTGCATCTTTTGACTATAATTACTTTAACCAAACACTAGGGGAAAAAATATATTGTAGCCAACATGAAATTGAAACTGACTAATTGCACCACTGTCCTTCAAAGTTATTACTACAGTTTCATTTCAAGTAAAGAAAAGAAATTAAATATTAGGAAATTATTTAATTTTCTTTTATTACATTGAACGAAATCTTAATTTCCTAAGGGACCCTCGAGAAGATACAATGCGTTACTTAAGCCTCCTATGATAATAACAACTCCTTTTTGGTAAACACTTAAAAAAGTAATTTTGAGACATCAAACCCAAATCACCTATTGTAATTAGTCAGTTTTAAAAGGAAGTGAGTGCCTGCCAGGTAATGCCATTAGGGTAGGATAATTTTTTTCTTTTAACTCTGTAAAACATCTTTTTTTTTTTTTTTTCCTCATTGCATGTAGCCAGAGAGATGTGCAAGGAGGCAAGAATACAGAATTTAGGGTAGACTAGTGCCATGGAGGAGACTATCAGAAGGAACAGAGATTGCAAAATCATCCTCTTTTCTCTGACTGAGGAGAACCAGGCTCAGTGAAGCAGGGAAAAATAGAAGGAAGAAAGATATGAAATACATGAAACTCTGCCTTGGGCATATATCTAGTAGAGTACAGATGGGCATCCAAACATGTGTGGCTCCAATGGGAAATCCCTACAGCCCGTGATACAGGTTTCTGTCCTCCCAGGAGAGTGGTTCCAACTCATTGCAGTGACCCTCCCTGTGCACCCAAACGCAGGAAAGTCTTGGTCTGTACAGGAGGCAGTTATATCACTACAAATGAGATTGGATATGGGCATTAGTCAAACTGCCACCACAGAGGAAAGAAGATGCATTCAGGCGCCAGCCGTAACTTGGTCAGGCACAGAACTAAAGCTTTTTTCTGTACTAATGTTTAAAGTGAACAAAATGTATACATAGTGGGTGTGCAGCTGCCCGAAGGTTTAGGAGCTTATAACTTGGCCACCAAGTTATTATTTATTCTCATTCTAAAGCAGATTGGACTTTCATGGCTGTCTAAGCTTCACGAAAGTACTCTTAATAAGGAATTAAGATAATATATATTATTTTGTGAAATATTAAAATAAGAATACTATGATAGAAAACTAATAAGAAAACTAACCTGGTGATGTGAACTTAAAAATTAAGTCATAATTTGAAACTTTTGACTTAATATTCCATACTTGGTTTTAATTTTAGTATCGTACATTTTTAACTGACCTGTTTTTTTTAAAAACTATACTAAATTAAAAACCTAGAAAACTGAATGCTAAAGGAATCTTTGCCCAAGAGTTTTAAAATGACCCTACTCAAAATATTTTAAAATTTGACTAGCAATTTAAAACAGTATCATCCTTTTATATTTTTTCTGTAGCAATTATGGCACTAGTATAATGTATTCTGCCTTCATCTGATACAATAATTAATAAGTTTTAAAGTTTATACCATTGGAATGATGCTAATTATAATTAATACCTATCAGAAGAGAAAAGTTGATGTTGTTTCTTTGTCTTAAACAGCTCAGACCTACAAAAAGTCCACATAAAAAGGCATGGAAGACAAACATTTTCTTAGTTTCATGTAACTTTTTTGGAAAGACATAACAGGACTGCTTTTAAAAATACATTTTATTCTTAGAATTTGTACTGCAAATAACCAAAAAATGAGAGTAGGGAACAATTTGGTTAGCTTGAAAATCCTCCTAAAACAATTTTTGAATTTGGAAACAAAAAAGTATGTAGAGACAAAAGCATTAATATAGAGAGCTATGGCACGCAGTTATTGATATAACTTCTCATCTTAAAACTAGTTTCCTTAGTGATCATAATTAAATTATAGGATTTGCTTTTTTTTTGTTTGTATGTTTTGTTTTTCTCAGTGTTGATCACTTTCTTTCTTTTTTTTTTTTTTAACATCTTCACTGGAGTATAATTGCTTTACAGTGTTGTATAAGTTTCTGCTGTATAACAAAGTGAATCAGCTATACATATACATATATCCCCATATCCCCTCCCTCTTGCATCTCCCTCCCACAATCCCTATCCCACCCCTCTAGGTGGTCACAAAGCACCAAGCTGATCTCCCTGTGCTATGCAGCTGCTTCTCACTAGCTATCTATTTTACGTTTGGTAGTGTATATATGTCAATGCTACTCTCTCACTTCGTCCCAGCTTACCCTTCCCCCTCCCCGTGTCCTCAAGTCCATTCTCTAGGATTTGCTTTGTTAACAAAACATATAGAGAGCAGGATGGCAGGGCTGGGCAATAGCCTCTGGGACAAATCCATATACAGGCTGTGGGTAAATGGTACCATGGAAAAGTCAGTTAATTCATGTTGAGTGTCTTCAAAATCTAAACGTATCTCTACAACCAAATCTGACTAATATGATTCACACCCACTGAGAAGACAGCAAAAGAATCTGCCAAACTTTTGTCCACCCTCTGATACATCTGGCTATCACAACTTTACCTATTGAACTTGAAATTTTTAAAAAACTTTTTATTTTATATTGGAGTATAGTTGATTAACAATCCTGTGACAGTTTCAGGTGCACAGCAAAGTGACCCAGCTACACATATACATGTATCCATTCTCCTTCAAACTCCCCTCCTACCTAGGTTGTTACATAATATAAAGCAGCTTACCCTGTGCTATATATGGTCCTTGTTGGCCATCCACTCTAAACACAGCAGTGTGTACATGTCTATCCCAAACTCCCAACCTCTCCCTTTCCCCCACCCTTCCCCCCTGGTAACCATAAATTAGTTCTCTAAGTCTGTGAGTCTGTTTCTGTTTTGTAAATAAGTTCATTTGTATCATTTCTTTTTAGGTTCCGCACATAAGCGATACCATACCATAAGATATTTCTCTTTCTCTGTCTAACTTACTTCACTCAGTATGACAATCTCTAGGTCCATCCATTGAACCTGAAAATTTTGAAAGGTTTTTTGTACAGAGGAAGGCATCTAAACAGTATGAAAAACTATTTTTCTATGCTGTGAGTCAATAAACTATGAATCTGAAAAACCATTGTGATAGTCTTATTATTTATAATGGCATATCATGAATTATCAATCACATTACTGTCAAACATATTCAGAGTAGGAAGCAGAAGCCTACTGAAACAATATTTTATTCGGGGTTTTACATTCTCTACCAATTTGATCCTGATTAAAATGTAAGAGAAAGGATTATCACACTTACTTAATCATATGTGGCACAGAAACTTTGGAATTTTCTTCAAACACTATAGTCATTAAACCATTACACCGTATGTTGTCCACACACTGTGAAATTAAAAAATAGACAGTTAAAACCCACATGAAAACCTAGGCGGAGCATATCTTCCCAGAATTATTTATAATCACAAAACAATTCAGTTTCTCATTTGTGCACATATGCACACACGCGGGTGCACACACACACACAGGGAAACATTACACATTGATGAACAGATTCAATATCCAAATACCAAAACTGTGCACCTGGCAAATGCCTGAGGATGGATATAAGGGCTACATTTTCCTAGAATGTGTTTCCCAAGGATTCTGAGCACAATGTCACATCGGCACAATTCTCTGGCAGTCCCAGCACTACTTGAGAAGTTTACACCTCTAGTGAGGTATAAACTGCCTCTGCTATATTCATTCTCTGCCCTAGTGGGTGGTATGGGGCAGGCAGAGCAGAAATGGTGGCTTGCTTGGATGGAATTCATCTTCTCTCTCACTAGGAAGCTCTGTGCCTGCTTCTCGGTGCTTTTTGCCAATAAATTCCCACATTTTACTAGCTTCTCTAGCAGTTTCTACCGGCACCGTGTTAGTTCAGTGAGGATGTATTGTATAATTTCTCCTGTTTCTGGCACACATAAAGCCCTGTTCATCTCCTTTCTCTTTTCCTTCAGGAAATTTTGCTAATTTTCTCTACCTTTTTAATTTATATCTATGCCTTATCAATTCAAAATTTCCCTTTGCAATTACTTTGGGTTAGAGAAGGATTTATTTTGAGATTTAAACAATCTTTAAAATCAGAAATTACTTTTAGTTACTAGGATACCATGTAGTACTTTACGACTGTAATTAAATGGTGTGAAGAAGCTGATTGCCAAGTGATTTCACAGAGCTCTTGAACTCAGGGTTTATCCTAAACCCCAATGTCTAATAAAAGAATGAATATGCATATAAGAAACTTTGGGTCACTGGCATCCCCTAACTATTGATCCCCTACTTAGCATATCAGCCATTTTCAGGCTTGTTTTTCCTTAAAATTTTGTTTCCTCATGTCTTATGCCGTTATTTCAGTGACCAGGTATAGAGGATCTCAACTTCTGGGAATAAAGTAGAATATTTTAAAGTTCCCCTCAATTCATTTCTTGAAGCACCTGGAATTTGGAGTTATCTTTTTATATGAATAATTATGGTTATCTAACTACAAATTAGGTTACATGTGAGTTTATACTATATCTTATTCCCATAGGTGGATTACAAAAACACATATAGTAAGACAAAGTCAAAATTAGTAAGAAAATTAGAGAGGATTTGGATAAAGGGTGGAAAATAATAAGATGAAGCCTGGGATCAATCCACCACATGTACTTTATGTTGAGAAGTCCCAAACACTTGCTATACATGGTCCTCAAAATTAGCTGAGCTACGGAACAGCCAACTCAAAGGGGGCCACATGATGAACTACAAAATTCATGGTTTAATAGAAGCTCAATTCATCCTAGTCTGAGTCCAGAGGAAAATTATCTCATGGGTTCTCATAAAGAAAACGCTGAATAATGTTGCGAACATTATCCTCAACAACATCCATAAAGTAATTGCAGTTTTTAACCAAACCATTTCTTATAAACTCCCTCAACACTGGATGAAGAGTACAGTTCCAGACTAACCACTCTGTGGTGGGCCCCAAAGAATGGGGGCCTGCCTTTTCTCGTCTGGTTCCAAGCACAGATTTCACTCTCTTCAGAAAAGGGTACGTATAGCCTGCTTTTCTTTAGGCTAAATAAATGCTGCTCCCCCTATCAGTTCTGAGCAGCAGGAAGTTGGACATGGTATTCTTCCATAAGTCCTGAAACTGCAATATCCTAAGTTAGTATCCAGTTGTATGGAGTCAATGTTTCCACCAGTGAACCAAGCTACCAGTAGGTGGGGTATCCTCTTAGGCCTCAGAACAGCCACAGGACCTCAAAGGGAGAGCTCTCAGTCAGGGCTAGATGAAAAGAGACGCCAACGACTCCATTTCTAAGCATGAACAAACAGGGGAAAATGAAGAGATGAGGCTGGCTGGTGTGTGTGTTTATAATGGAGAAGACAGTAAGAGAGAGGGGGCCGGGGTTTGATCCCTGGTCAGGGAACTAAATCCCACATGTATGCTGCAACTAGGAGTTCTCATGCCACAACTAAGGAGCCCACCTGCTGCAACTAAGACCCGGCACAACAAAATAAATAAATATTTTTTAAAAAGATGAATAAGGTAAACTACTTTAAATTCACTTTCCTAATTCCAGTGGGAAAATGGATTAACATTATCCCTGTTCTTATCAAACTATGAGTGTGGGGTTTGGAGGAATGGGGGAAAAGATTGTATGGGGACAGATACTGCACACAGACAGGGAAAGGAAGGAGGCGTTAAGTGATCCTTCACCCCAGTGACATTTCTAGCTATTCCTTAGACTTTTCACTCTCACTGTTTCTGAGCAGAATGAGGATGCCACTTGGGTAATCAACACAGGAAGTGGGAGGGCAGAGACGGTGTTTGGTAAGAATTGGGGCAAGTATATAGTGTTCCTTCGGTCTCCTTTAACAGTCTAAGCAATAATATAGTTACACAGACAACAGCCTTAGGATGACTTAGGGCTATAGTTTTCATGTTTCGATTTTCTATTTGGTTCTTTGATCAGCCTGGTCCTTTTTACACAGTGATCTATTCTTTTCTTTCCTTCCTTCTTCCTTTCCTCCCTTCCTCCCTTCCTTCCTTTCATAGCTTTATTATATTTTAAACATTCTTTTTCACAGTCTTTTCTAAGTTATCACTCTATTATCTGAAGTTCCAGCAGTGCTAATTATACTGCTCACTATGTCTTCTCTCGCTCTTGATAGATCGTTTACTCACAAGATTTGTAATTTTTGATTTTGAGCACCTTGTCATGAGCCCTGAACTGTTGAGGTGTTGCTAATGCAGTGACTTTGTGTTTGCTTCTACCAAGCATTTTGGGTTAGCAACAGTCCAAATATTGTTTTTGCATTAATTTCTCAGTTTGGAATTTTCACACCATGTGAATACTGTAACTCTGAATTTCAAATCCACAGGCCAGAAACACATTTGTTTTTCTCAAAGGAGCTTTTTAAAAATTCAGAACCCAAGGGGCTTCCCTGGTGGCGCAGTGGTTAAGAATCCACCTGCCAATGCAGGGGACACAGGATAGAGCCCTGGTCCGGGAAGATCCCACATGCCGAGGAGCAACAAAGCCCATGCGCCACTACTACTGAGCCCGTGTGCCACAACTACTAAAGCCCACACTCCTAGAGCCTGTGCTCCACAACAAAACAAGCCACCACAATGAGAAGCCCACGCACCACAACTAAGAGGAGTAGCCCCTGCTCGCCATAACTAGAGAAAGCGCGTGTGCAGCAACGAAGACCCAAGGCAGCCAAAAATTAATTAATTAATTAATTAATTAAAAGAAAATTCAGAACCCAAGTCAAAGACAAACTTCCTTATGTCTTTCCTGGCCTAATGGGTTTTTTGAGTTCTTATTTCATGGATGGGGCAGCCTTCCAGTGCCCAGGCTTCAAACAAGGGCTTCAAACAAGGATCTCAATTCCTTTAAGGGGCCCAAGGCTAACCCTCGCTCCTTTTGTTAATACCCCTCAGGCGTGGGACCAATATCCAAACTAAAATCATTCCCAAGTCTCTATGTTTTCAGTTTACATGCTGTCTACCCTGACTTTAAGTTCCCTTGTTATTTCTGGCAACTAGAGATTTCCCTTTATATCTGTACATATCACCAATGTATTAAATTTTTTATTATACTGATTTTATGTATTAAACATTTCTTGTTTGTAGCTAGAAGGGATCTAAATCGATGCAGTCCTCCATACTGCCAGAATTGAAACTTGGGATAAGTGTTTTAGATCCAAAAGAGAAGATTTATGTGACCACTTTTGAACATCTTATTATCCAATGTCAGATCTCATTCATAAATCTTTCTGATTCATTGTGTTAAGCATTAAAATTACATATCTTGGTTGTGTTGGGGAGAAGAGACTGAGTCCTGGGAAAATGAATGCAGTTCACTCAGTTAAGAAGAAAGACATGAAAATAATCAGGATGTCACATATCTTTAAGGATGTATTGAATTTATGTGAATTACTATAAACCTTGAAATTAATAGGATATTAACAAAAGCAGATTCCTAGGTCATGGCTATTCTAGTTCAGTTTGTAATGATTCTGACCAGGGTGGAGCCTGGGAATATGTACACTCACAGAAGCCCCGGGTAATTTTTTTGATTTATTTTTTGCTTCTTGGGGTTTTTTTTGGCCGCACTGCACAGGTTGTGGGATCTTAGTTCCCCGACCAGGGATTGAACCTGTGTCCCTTGCAGTGGAAGTGCAGAGTCCTAACCACTGGACCACCAGGGAATTCCCTCCAGCAAGGTTTTTTGAGGGTCCTGCTTAAGGAAATAACTGGTCAAAGTCCGTGGTGTACTGTGTCACCATATATATATATATATTTTTACCTTCCTAATACTTCTAAGTAGTAGGAAGAACAGTAAATTCAATTTCTCTTTTAATTTCACCTTTTTATATTAAAGTAAAAAATTCCCTATTGATTCCAGAGAAGTTATTTTAAGGGAAGAAGCATGTCAGTGTGCTACAAATTTGCCTGTATTTTGACACATCTGCCCAAACCAAGAAGCTCAGAGGTGAATTTTAATTCTGCATTTTAGTTGATACCCATAATTATAGAAAAATCTGTTTAATACACCATTATGTATGACAGTAAGACATGCACAAATGAAGGCACTATATTGAAATGAATGGTCAAATCTTCAGCCTCAGATTTTTCCCTATAAATAGATGAAAAAGGGAAGAATTATTGGTCAAGACCATTTTGTTGGAGACACCAACGGTTAATTATGACCTTGCTGGTGGAACTAAAATTATAATTAAGCGTTCAAGCCATTGTTACTTCTAAAGATTACAGCTTCAGAGAGAGAGGCCTGACAAAGCTAAACATTTATTTTTTGTATAGAGTTCTCTATGTGAAACTGGGATTATATCAATAGTCAGGCACCACTGTGTTATCTCAAATAAGAACTACACGTGATTGGTAGAACACGGTACAACAGTTTAGCAAGGTGGTATCGAATCAAGCCAGGAAAAATTAAAATTTTGCAAAACAAAGAGTGACAAAAATAAATAGACAAAATAATGGAGAACATATTCATAATTTGGATGGAAAGAAAATGCTCATTTCCCTAGTCTGTAAGCATAGCTCCAATGGATAAATGTCCATCTGGTATAAACAGACAAGAAACAGTGGAAAATGTTAGTCTCACTGATAATTACAGAAATGTAAATTAAAACCACTAGAAAGCAATATCACTTTTCCATTAAATAGGAAAATGTGACAAATGTGACAAAACTCAACATTGGCAGGACTTAGAAGAAAGTTGCATAGATACCTTGCTGAAGATGTTGTGAAATGATGAGTTACATATTCCTTGGAGTGTTTGGGCAGTCTGTCGAGTCATGTATCATGAAATCATGAAAGTGATCAGGCCCCCTGTACCAGCCTTACCGGCTGTGGGTAAGATACACCACCAAGGGACCTTTAAAAGGGGAGAAACTCCCTGTGCAAAGATGGTTAGCACCACATCATATATTAATGCTGAAACCTGGAAACTGCCTGAATGCCTAATTATTCAGAAGGAGCTAGAAAAGTGGTAAGTTAACATGATAGAATATACATATATTGCTATTAGAAGACACCAATATGAAGAATTCACAGGAATATAAAAAGATGTAAAAAGCAAAAAATGATGCATATACACACCCAGAGCCAAACTGTTAAATTATTTCTCTACGGCAGGATTGTGAGGGTTTTAGAGGTGGAAACATTTGATTTTCAGAACAGGGTTTCTCGAATTTAATTGCACAAAAATGATCTGTGGAGCTTGTTAAACCTGGGGGGTTTCTGGAATGTGGTTTCAGGAATCTGTATTTTAAAAAAAACCTTTGGACCTGCTGCATAAAAAAATAAATAAAATTCAAAAAAAAAAGAGAAAAAAACCTTCCAGTAATTATCTGTGGAAGACACTTTGATAAACATTTACTTAGTGATCTAGGTGCTGGGAGTCTTTCTGGTTTCCTTTTTGTGTCCATATCTTTACATATACATGATAAAATATTAAAAAGTACATTTTCAAGCATTCTGTAGACTCATCTTAATAATGAATATGTCCAGAGGCATACTTGGAATACTGACAAATTCCATCAACGTGTGTATAGCACATAATTTTCCCCATAAGATGAAAATGCTTTAAGCGGAGAACAAAGCCTGGTTGAGATGCAGGCTGCTGGGCAGTAGGCTAGGCTCAATCAACAGTGAAGCACTCTGTCTCTACCACTCACCATTCAAACCCTGAGTTGGGAAAATCACTAAGCATCTCAGAACACTCACTACCATACTCAGCTTTCAGTAGCAGCTGACATAATCACTCCCCACTCCCTGATACATTTTCTTCACTTGACTTACAGGACACCACGTCCTCTTGGCTATCCTCCAATTGCTCTGCTGATTCCTTCTCTTCTTTGTTGTTCTCCACGACTCCTCACCCAGTCCATGGCCCTCTTCTCAGTCTATCTACATTTACTCTCTGGGTGATCTCAACAGGCCTTAAATACCATCTAAATGGCGTAGAGTCTCCCACCTGGACCTCCCTCCAAGCGCTTAACATCTATATCCCACTGCTTACTTAACAACTCCACTTAAATTACTTCCTCTTTTTCTCTTTTCCCTCTTGCACATTCCCCTTCAGCCGCACTAGTCTTCATGCTATTACTCAAAATATGCAGTGTCCTCCTACTCTAGAGTCTTTGCAGTGGTTGTTCCCTCTGCACTGCCAAGGGAACGACTTTCCCTTCATTACAATATCAACACGGTATTTCCATCACTTATTGCAGTCTTTGTTTAGATGTCTTCTTCAAAATAAGACGATCACCTTTTAAAAACTGTACCAACCCCCATCTACCTCCAGTAGCCCAATCCTTCTTACCCTGGCCTATCACCCTCTGGCATAAAATATTATATACTTACTTATTATGTATACTGCTATTTTCAGTTTTCCCCACACTAGAATGTAAGCTACATAAGGTCAGGGAATTTTTTGTTGCTGTTGCCTCCTGTCCATGATATATCACAAGTGCCTAAATAGTTAGTGGTATTGGTACTTTATTTAACCAAAATATATTTATTGAATGGCTGAAATCATAAGTGTCAAAGACACACGATATCAAGGCTCTATGGAACACAGTAATTTCATGTAATGATATCATCGTCCCTCAGAAAGATACAATTTTCTGTTGTTTCCTTCTCCAGTTCAATTGTACATATAATCAGCTTAATATATTAGTCATAGAAACTTGGAGAAACAGGAAGAAGTTGTATACTCAACTCAAGATTTAGACTAAGTAGAGAGAATCACTTGGAGGCTTCTGGGAAGCAAAGTATTGGATCCTTTCTTTAAAGGACCAGGCATAGAATCATTCATGCACCCCATGGGTCTTTCTCTCTTAGCAATGCCTCACCAGGCCCCCTAAGGAAGATCACTTAGTGCTTTTATCAACTCTGTATCTTAGGAGCCCCAGTTACATCATAAGGTAGAAGCTATAAGCAGCTGGAAAAACATCTTTGCCTACACTCCAATTCTCCCTATTTTTCCTACTCATCTTGGCTTCACAACACATACAAAATTTTGTTGCATTAAGTTGTCTACTTCCCTTTCTTCCCTACTAGCCTGCCTATCTCCTTGAGAGCAGGGACCGTTGCCATATCCCTGGTACCTACACAGTACCTGGCAGCACATGGTGATTGCTCAATTAACGTGCATAGAATCAATGGCTGATTCAGAGTCTCATCAGGTAAAAGGTGTACTACAGAGACTTAATTAAAGTATTAATTCATACAGCATAGAGCTAATGAAAGTATTAATAAATCACCACAAGGATGTAATTATGCAAATACACAAGAGCCCATATTTTCATTCCTTTGTTAACCAGAAAAGCAGCACCTTCACTTCAGCTATTTATTCATCATCAAAAGAGTCCTGGGAGAAAAGAAGTAAAAATCCAGAATTCCAGTAGAGGATATTTAGAGTGCTAATAAAAGACCTAGATTAGGTTTGAGTCCTGACTCAACACAGTTGTGTATTTGGACAAATGCTTATTAACCTCCCAAACCTCAGGTTTCTCACCTGTGAAATGGGACTACTATTTCTGTTAGCCTTCAGAATACTACCGTAAGGGTCAAAAGAGACTGTAAAATTTCTTTGACACACAAAAATAATTATTTTGTCCATTCATTTTCTTTCTATTTCCCCTCAGTTTTCAGTCACTCTGAAAAAAATTAAGTATCTGAAGAACTATGATATAGTTTCTATTTATACCTAAGTCTTATACAGTAAGTTCCCTACACATGAGCCTTCAAGTTTTGAACTTCCAAAGATGCTAACATGTGTTCGCATGTCCAATCACGTAAGTTAGTTCATGTGTGTGTCTGGCATACATTGTCATGTGCGTGCATCCTGTACAAGTGGTTGTGCTTTTGTGTACTTTACTGTGCAGTGCTATATAGAGTACAGTAGTACAGTATCTTATTGCAAGCCCAGGATGTCCGGAAGCAAGTGCAAAAGTAGCAGTGATGTAACTGGTATGCTAAGAACAGCCAGCTGTTGTACTGTACTACATTACTTTTCAAGATAATGTATTGTAAGATTAAAAATGTTTTCTTTAATTTTTGTTTGTTTTTTTATGTATTATTTGTGTGTAAAAGTCTTATAAACCTATTACAGTACAGTACTATATAGTCAATTGTGTCAGTTGGGTACCTAGGCTAACTTTGTTGGACTTATGAACAAATTGGACTTATGAATGCGCTCTTGGAACAGAACTAGTTTGTATGTAGGGGACTTACTCTATATAAGTACTATGAGCTCTTCGGAAAAGGAAGACAATGGGATCTATAGCATATGCCTTTCCTGTTTGCCCCAATCTTCCTTGAGTTAACAACTTTGAAGATAATAATCAAGCTTTCTTTTAGTATTTTCCTTACACAGCTTCCCTTTTCACCTAGATTGGTTAATTCCTTACACAGCTTCCCTTTTCACCTAGATTGGTTAATTCCTTACACAGCTTCCCTTTTCACCTAGATTGGTTAATTGGATTGAAGAATGCCCAAGTCCAATCATCACTAGTTTTGACATTCTTTCAAATGCTGAATAAATGAAGCAGTTCCCTAACTGGGCATTGCTGATCAAGGAAAGGTAAGCAAATCTGTTCCCTAATTTTTTCTATATAAAATACAGGAGCTCATTTGCAGGCTTCATACTACAGACAGTATCTCTTCTTTGATTTGATTCCATAGTCCTTGTTAGCCTTTTCTGAATCTCTCACCATTTTCCTACCTCAGTAACAAATAAGAAAAAAAAAAAAATCTAGTGAGGTCACTGGAGAATTTATTACTCACAGGGCAATTTTAACACTGTCCAACACAAGTGACTACATTATCAGCTTGTAAAAAAGTGCCCAGGACACAAAATGCAATAACTACATTTCAAGTAAATTTTAAACAAACAACAACCACAAATGATTTAATACATGAAGACATACAGTGGTACTGGTAGTGACCACAGCAACCAGATATAATTTTCTAATAAAAATAAATTGACTCTAAAACTCCTTCCCAAAAGTTTATGTTGTAAAATTTAAAACAAAAACAAAACCCAACTTAGGGCCAAAGCCACTTGCTTACCTGACTGATGTCACTTGTCCAGGCAGCTTTCTCCTGGCGTGAAGGTGCTAACAAGACCACAGTGAAAGGGGCAGCGTCAGGAGGCTCCACCACTATTTTAAAATCCAGGTGTCCAAACACTTGCCCAGAACCTTTGGCTTCAACACATGTAAACCAAACAATTAGATGTGAACACAAAAATATGAGTGATAGTTGCTTTCACATGGTTCTAGTAATACAATCAATGTGCATTTAAGTCCAGAATCTCATTTCAGCAATATGGTGCTTCTTGGGCCTGGGGAAGGCTTTGTTAAGCTCATAAGCAGATGAAGAAACTGAGATCAGTAGGTTACTCAGGACTAGGATCCTGCTTTCCTTCTCATTTCATGTTTTTATTTTTTTTTTAATTTCCATAATTTACGGAATTCCAACACACTAATTCAATCTCTTTCTTTTCTGCCACTGCAGTCACTATCAAGAGACAAATTCAGTAAAATGTGAATTCCCAAAGACGGTTTAACCAGGTCACAGGTTAAATGGCTCAACAGAATTTTTCATATATAAATGAATTCAGGGAGTTTATTCTTAACATCTTTCCTGCTTCCTTAAGCAGCTCTTCTTAGCTATGAATGAATAAAAACCATAGGACTATTTAATTCTAATATAATTCTAAGTGATAGTATGTGACTTACAGTCATCATCGCTTGTATCGGGCTCCTCAACCAATGTACATTCTATTAGAGAGAGAACTCCACCTGTCTGGAAACAGACCAATTTTTCATTAAGAGGCTAAGAGTCTTTCACAGGTTGGGAACCTGTGATTTGCAAACCTTACATTCAAACTGCCACAAAAGAAAACAGCAATTGTACTTCATAAATAATTTTTCATAGAGTTCAAAATTAAACTTAGATGTGTAAAAGTAATTGAATTCATTGAACTTCATGTTCTTCCCCACATCCGACTCTCACTCCCGATGTTTATAAAATTTAGCAAGTCAGTCTATGGGAGACTATATGGCACCTTAGGGGCCCTGTAGAGTGAATGCAGCTCAGCAAAGGGCAGAACTCTCCAACCAGGAAGTGATTTAAGCAGTAGGAAGCCTTGGTTGTGATGTTGGATAATATTTTCAGGCACTAATAACAGAAGGTACAGATAGGCAGACTTCTGTTAAGAGCCAGCTAGTAAACCTTTTAGGCTTTGCAAGCCATGTGATCTCTATCGCAACTGCTCAAATCTGCTGCTCTAAAAAAGCATGAAAACAGCCAGGGACAATATGTAAGGAAATGAGTATGGCTGTGTTCCAATAAGACTTTACTATCAAAAACAGGCAACAAGCTGCGGGCCATAGTTTGCTCACTCCTGGTACTGAGCAAGATAAAGGAGCATTTAGTAAATATTATATAATCAGTACACTGCAGTAATTTGACAAGATATTTGTAGCTCAGTAGTCACCAACTAGTAATTTTGTCCAGGTTATGATTTTAATTGCTCTTCTTTATGGCAATGCACACTTACATTTCTATTACTTTGGATCCAACTGACAACAAAGTAAGTGTCAGGATTGGTAACTGTATATTACCTCACCATGAAATCTGACAATCTATTTTATGATAGCAGGCATAGGAAAGTCATAATTAAGTTAACCTCAATGCCTCTTAAGTGCATGGAACATAAATGGAATAGTCATATAAAACCAGTACCTTGAGCAGATGTAGCTTTCCTCCTGAACTTCTTGTACAAATTAAAAAGTGTTTTGTAAACAAGAAGCATTGTCTTTCTCCTTCCTTTTTCAAAGACAATGAACCCAGGCGAACTTTACTAAGTTTCCCCCTCTCAACGGAAGGTACTTGAATAAGAGAACCTGGTGATCACAAAAGTGAAGAACACACAGTAATTAAAATTCTGTCAAGTGAGAGCTGTTCCTGATGTAAAAACACTAGGGCCTGTTTCCCAAGATACCAAGGATTTATTTGATGCACCATTGGAACAAGTAAATCCCCTGCACTCTGAGCAGAAGAAACGATGCATTACATTTTAAGGGTTGCACTAATTCCTACTATTTTTGTAAAACACTTTAGACTTGATTATCTATAAGCTGGAAAATAAGTTTAAAAGAAAGCCAAATTGAATTCAAAGAATGAGGCACTTCTGCCATCTGTCCTTCATAATCTGATCTCAATCAATTTATTTACATAAGAATAAGGTACATATTATATAATTAGAGTAATAAAATAACATAATAAAAAGCAAATCAAATTTAATTTTCCTGGAGCACTGAAGGTAGATAAATAGCATTAATACAGTTTACTTTGTATTTTAAAAATAGAATGTACAATACATGTACATTATAAAAATACACAAAGTATACAATTCAATGCAATTTAGTTAAGGACTATTTTTAAAGGGCAGTCATTTCAGGTTACATTTAAATGATATGTGATAAAAATTTTCTGTGGACTCTAAATGGAAAAGAAACCACATAAATTCTATACCCAGAACATTCCTGTGAGCAAAACTGTCTTCCATTCAATGTGAGAAGCTATGCATAGACTTTATATAGTTTCACCCTAATAATGACTGCCTGCTCCCCGCAAGAGAAAATTCTAATCTAAGTTAAATATCAAACCAAAAAGTACTACAAAAGATGCTAGCAAATACCTTGCCTCTGACTTCTGAAATGCCCTGAGCCAGTAATATTTCTACTATTTGTTTAATCCACCACCTACCCCAAATGCAGCCTGACAAAGGCTCCTTTCAGCCTCATAAGAACTATTAAATGACTATTTATCACTTAAATATTAACAGTGGTCATCACTAAGAGATAAGATTGCAGGCAACTTTATTTTCCTCTTCATACATTTCCTGGGTTTCCCGATTTTGTTGTTGTTGTTGCTTGTTTTAGGATAGTAAAACTATGATTGTGGGTCACAAAATGTTTACACTAACATATGAATATTCCAAACAGCATCTACTTTTACAGAGATCTAAAGATGTGCTGGGGGTAGAGAACCCAAGTTTCTATGGATTCCCTGAATTCCATCTATTCAGATGAGTGTTTAGGTGGGGCTGCTTGACAAAGGCAGAATTGCTGAGGCAGTCCTGGGGGAGGGTTTGGGACTGGGGAATGAGGGCGGGAGAAGGCTTGGTTCCAGTGAAAGGAATGGGCAAGAAGGAGGAGAGTTAGGTGGGAGCAAACTGGCAGAGAGCACAGGCAGCATGTAATTAAATATGAAGAATAACGGAGCAATGAGAAAAGCATATGGCAGAATGCTTAGAGGAGTAGATGGGCAAGTAACAGCAGCAGAAGGATTGTATTCATTAGACCCATGGATGAAACCGAAGCCACAGGAGACCTTTCAGAGGACCTGGGTCATCCCCGCCAGGAGATGGCAGTGGATTCAGCAGCATAACAACTGAAAGTCAGAAAGGGAATGGATGGGAAAAGACAGGAAGTTCTAGCTTTGCCATGGGCGGTCGTGAGTCATCCAGGCAGATAGGTTAGGGCAGAGCGGAAGACTGCAGCATAGACAGGTGGACAAGCGGGTTTGAGAGTCATTTTCAGAAGGGATATAATCAAGGCTATGAAAACTGGATAATAATGTGTTCACTGGTAAATGCTTCTAGCATTTAATGATTTTGTAAATCAGAAATTATAGAGTACACTGTTAACTCATATATTAATCATTACCGTGAATTTTAACTTTGAGGTAAAAAATAACCAATGTTTCCTTGGCAACTATACACTAATATGCTTAATCTATAACTGCTTATCTCATATCCAAATAGGAGACTGTGTGCATTAGGTATGTACAGAAGTCTATACATCTGAATTAAAAGTGAGCAATTTCAACACTGGTTTATAAAATAAGCTTGTTGAAAAATAAGTTAAGTGGATCTTTTTTTCACATTTTATCTTATGTTTGACATGATGTTTCAACACAACTATGAGACCTGAGGATTCTTTTCTAGTTAATACAAATTAGAGAACTCATAGTCTTGAATCAGTAATTCCTCAGTATCAGACCATTGCTGTGATACGATATTTTGCATCCCCATCATCATCAGTCTATCTAATAATTGGGGTCAACTTACCAAAACACTTCTGTTTTTCAATCACTAAATTCCCATAGCATGGCATTCAAGATTGGCTAATGCCCTTAATCTTAATTCCACTCAGTAGTGTAAAAGAATGAACAACAATTTCCAGGTTATTGGATTAGGCGTTTGAGATGGTATAACTATTTCTAGACCCCACGTTACAATTTCAAAAGACACTGGTACACTGAAAGTACATGATTTTGAGTCTGGGAATGATTAAAGTACCACAGAGGTTCATGTCTCATTCTCAATGCATTTGGCTCTAAATTCGGTCACCTTTATTTAATTTTCCTGATTCACATTTCCACCAGACAACAATGACTAAGTATAATGGATTTTGCACAAAACGTCAACTTAAAGTGCCTTTATCTTCTAATAAATATTCATATATATTTCATGTTACTGAAAATAGACACCCATTCCAAAATTTAGATCTTGGTTTTTAAGGTTTATGTCATAATCTCACAGACACTAGCCTAGATGCATTTATGAACATTTAATCTTCACAACAACCCTAAAAGACAGCTACTACTATTAACCCCAACTTAAAGGGAGGAAACTGAGGCAAAGAGAGGTTAAGTAAATTGCCCAATATCACATAGCAAGGAAGTGGAGGAGACAGGATTTGACCTCCATGACGCGGCTACATGTCTACCTATTATTGCTGCAGACACTTTGGCTCAAGAAACTTTGAAAAAGATTTTGGAAAATAAATGACAGTGTCAGACCACCGCTATGATATAATCCTTTGCATCGTACTCATCAACCATCTAGTAATTGGAATCAATTTACAATAAAACCTGTTTTTTCAACCACTAAATTCCTACAGATTGACATTCAAGGTTGGCTATCACACCTATTCGGAGGAGGCCTTTCAGATGACCTTATTTTTCCTAGTCAGAATAAAAGTTCATTTGAGATTGAAACCACACACATATTTGTACATAAGCATTTGCACACGCACTCACGCATTGAAAAACAGACCGTATATCAACCCTAAAAGTAAACAATGCAAATATTATTATACAATTAGAGATAAACTATAGTCCATTTCATAGAAAAGAGAACCTCTCAAAGTTAAAAAACTTTTTAAAAACCCACTTCAACGAGTTTTAAAGCCTATTAAAGGTATTTAGTAAAAGTAATAATAGGAGCAGCCAAAGCAAAATAATGCAAACTTTCCAAATTGTCCGTAATTGGATTACTTTCTACTTTCAGATTAAGGTTTGATTTTTTAAAACCACCTTTATTGAATAATTTTCAAACAGACTAACCAAACCAAACAACACGGAAAAATACTGCTGAAAGGCAAATCATTATATCAACATCAATACAGCAATAACATCAGATATATTAATAGCTGACAGAAGCACCTCAAACATGTAGTACAGAACAAGCAATAAATAACATCTGGACATGAATCAAAGGGAGAGGTGGCTCATGACTGTTTTTCCTCCAGGTGCAATGAAAAAACATATGATTTTTTCATTGGATTCGACCTTCTAGCAGTTTTCAACTAAGTTTGTAGAAATATGTTAAATGTTTATGTGTAATAATACTTTTCAGTCCAAAGTCCTTTCAGAAATTGAATACTAGTTATAAAAACTTTTGTTACCATTTTCACATAGTATACATCTCAAGTCCTTTAGTAAGTATTTTTCAGTGAACTCCAATTACAAGAAGAATACAAAACAAGACAGCTGACATTCAAAACTGCAGTATTCAACAAGCAATTCAATTTAATCCATTGTTCATTTTCCAGGTATCTATAATGGAAAGCATTGTACTAGGCAAGAGAGAATTCATAAAAACTGCCCTTCAGAGTTACAATTACTGGGAGAGACAGGCATGCAAGCAAGTGGATGAAATACATGCACCAGGAGCAAAGGGGCTCAGAAATGATGAGGACGGTAAATTCATTCTAACTGGAGGGAAGAGGAGGGGAAGATGAGAAGGAAATTTAAAAGGCTCTTTAGAGGTGTCTGACCTGAGCCTAGTAGGACAGGCAGACCTTCCATAGGCACAAGAAAGGTGGATAAGGGCATTCCTGGTGTCCAGGCTAGGGCCAGCACATGTAAAGGCACAGAAGCAGACAAGTGCCAGGAAGGCAGGAAGCCAATATGGGGACACGGTCTGTACGGAGGAATAGAGGGGGATTTAGGAAGGCCCGATGTTGTCAGCATTAGAGTCCACTATTACTTAAAGAAAAATTAATACTTAAAGCCAAAAATGAGAAAGGTATCATGACCCGAAATATACTTCCAAACTTTAACGTATGTGTGATTTCTCTCCTTGTAAATAAATATGGAAAATAGAACAGCATGTGGTAAATTTTTTAAGTGTTCTGTGCAAAAATTAACGTGTGTAGCACAAATAATGCCTTGTTTGACGAGGTAAAAAAAGATTTTAAGCAGCACATTTTGGTACGCACTAGAAATGCAAATATCTTCAAATAATATTGGCATGTTATAAACAGAAACCACATTAAAGGCTAATTCTAGTTCCAAATTTATATGCCACTCCTCACCAAGTTCAAAATTATGATTGTGTGCAACATATTGCCACAAATCGATTTTGTGGGGCATGCTCCCCTGCCCCCAGAACACCTGAGCACTTAAAAAGAACTTGGAGTGTGGTTTACATCCTGCACTCTGTAATGAAAGCCATGGAGGAATATGGACTGTTAGGTTGTTGCTTCTCTACAGTTTCACAGTACAAATATCTTCAACTCTTCAAAAGCTCAATTTACTGGGTGATGCCCCCAAAGCACACCCCTCAAACATGATACCTTCGCCCTGATCGAAATATGGCAGGGCAAGTTGATAGTGAGACATTTCATCTGGCAACTGGAGTTACCAATTGAATCAAATCATATCATGTGGGGCCGATCCAGAAGTGCTGATGAAAAATGGGAACAAGAGACAGCTGTTTTCACTTCGGATATTGTCCCCACTGCTATGGGAAAGGGCTCTGAGTAATGCAAGTTTCTCTTGGGCCTTTGCCTGGATGTCGTCACCACCTGGCACTGCCACTCCAATCGGCCAGAGCAATCTGTCCTCCCTGGAGCTGTAGAGAATGTCCGGTCCACTGAGGAGAAGAGTCCAGTCAGAATGTAATTTACTGTCCCACTCGTGCTTTACTATTATTGTGTTGCTGTTTTTCATGGCCCCTGAAAAGAAACAGCACAAAGGTGGGCCTCAACCACAGCCTCGGTCAAGGCCATGGGGACATCCTGCATGAACAGCATCAATCAAACAGCTAAATCAAGCCTGCTCCAAAATGCTTTCCTGGATCTGCCAGTGATAATGTGACAGGTGCAGAGACCACTTAGATGGTGGGTCTGCTGAACAAGGACTTACCTTGGCGGATGAAAGTTTGGCTAGTGTCCAGCAAAATATCACAGCCCTCTACGATCATTCTTTCTATGGCGAGGTTCTTCCTTATGTTTTCAGTGTCACTCACTTCATCATGCATGACCCTGTCAAACACAATACAGGATCACGGTAAGAGATCTTCTATTGCCCCAGCAGATAAGCAAAGGAGCTCCATCTGGGAAGCTAGGGTTTGAACTTGTATCAGTTTAACTGGGGCTGTAGGGTAAGTCATGCTGGACTTCTAGCCTTCATCAAGTCATGACTCAAAGCAAAGCAGATGTACATCATGATTCTTAAGGATAAGTGAGTATCCTGAGAATGCTGCTTGTAAAGGCAACAGGAAAGCAATATTTTATTTTACGAACAGCTCCATTCATTGAAATTAGGATGCCATTTCTTAGAGGTGGAGTAAATTAGAGAACTTTATATCATTTATCCCATATAAGCTAAAGGAACACAGATGCCAAAACACTGAAAAGTCACTGATAAATCCAAAATATACATTCTCCGACTTCCTACCAAATACGGGTGCAAAACTGCAATTAACAACCATTCTCCCATTACGATGAAAGAAATGTGAACATTTTCAAACTTAAACCAAAATATGCCTAATCTCAATTATATAAATTTACATGCCATAAAACCATTTTCAAAGATATTTTTTTTCTTGGTTAAAATTAATGTGCATGCTGATTCAGCACCATCTCAGGAGCTAGCATTTAATGTTCAGCAGAATCTGAGAAGCTGGATTGTGTCTTGCTTCTTGTTCCCTGGACATATATATTCAGTTTCCACAAAAGACTAATGTGTTGGGCTTCCCTGGTGGCGCAGTGGTTGGGAGTCCGCCTGCCGATGCAGGGGACACGGGTTCGTGCCCCGGTCCGGGAAGATCCCACATGCCGCGGAGCGGCTGGGCCCATGAGCCATGGCCACTAAGCCTGCACGTCCGGAGCCTGTGCTCCGCAAACGGAGAGGCCACAACAGTGAGAGGCCCGCGTACCACAAAAAAAAAAAAAAAAAAAAAAAAAAAAAAAAAAGACTAATGTGCTACTTTGCCATATAAAACCTTTATTATAAATTCTCCACATACCTGGACAGTTCTTCTAGTTTGGATTTAGCAAACTCCAGACTTTTCCTCTCCACATGCTCATGGGGAGTATGGGCTAGGAGTTCATGAAGTGTGATGATATACCTGGGGATCTAAAAGCAAACAGAGGCCAGCATAAGCAAAGGTCAGGATGAGTAACACTAGATCTTCTCTACTTGCCATCATCACTTCTGAAGAGCTCATCTCTATTCTTACAGTTTTGACTGTTTCACAAATATGTTTTTTTAAGAAATACATTTAAAATGAACTATGCTTCAACATCAAACACACACAAAAACTTCACCAAGAACACATGAAGATAATAAAGTTTTATATTATAAAGAAACGATTATTTCCTCAGATTTTTAATATAATCATACATTTCTTTTTTTAATTTAATTTTATTTTGTATACAGCAGGTTCTCATTAGTTATCTATTTTATACATATTAGTGTATACATGTCAATCCCAATCTCCCAGCTCATCCCACCACCCCACCACCCCACTTCCCCCCTTGGTGTCCATACATTTGTTCTCTACATCTGCATCTCTATTTCTGCCTTGAAAACTGGTTCATCTGCTGTTTCTAGATTCCACATATAGGCGTTAATGTATATTTGTTTTGCTCTTTCTGACTTACTTCACTCTGTATGACAGTCTCTAGGTCCATCCATGTCTCTACAAATGACCCAATTTTGTTCTTTTTATGGCTGAGTAATATTCCATCGTATATATGTACCACAACTTCTTTATCCATTCATCTGTCGATGGGCATTTAGGTTGCTTCCATGACCTGGCTATTATAAGTAGTGCTGTAATGAACATTGGGGTACATGTGTCTTTTTTATTATTATAAATTTATTATTTTATTTATTTATTTTTGGCTGTGTTGGGTCTTCGTTGTTGTGTGCGGTCTTTCTCTAGTTGCAGCAAGTGGGGGCTACTCTTCGTTGCAGTGTGTGGGCTTCTCATTGTGGTGGCTTCTCTTGTTGCAGAGAATGGGCTCTAGGCATGCAGGCTTCAGTAGTTGTGGCATGCAGGCTCTAGAGTGCAGGCTCAGTAGTTGTGGTGCACAGGCTTAATTGTTCCACAGCATGTGGGATCTTCCCGGGCCAGGGCTCGAACCCGTGTCCCCTCCACTGGCAGGCAGATTCTTAACCAGTGCGCCACCAGGGAAGTCCCCTGCTGGAAGATCTTTAATCATAGTTTCAATTTCATTACTCGTGACTGGTCTGTTCATATTTTCTGTTTCTTCCTGGTTCAGTCTTGGAAGGTTATACCTTTCTAAGAATTTGTCCATTTCTTCCAGGTTGTCCATTTTATTGGCATAGAGTTGCTGGTAGTAGTCTCTTAGGATGCTTTGTATTTCTGCAGTGTCCATTGTAACTTCTCCTTTTTCATTTCTAATTTTATTGATTTGAGTTCTCTCCCTCTTTTTCTTGATGAGTCTGGCTAAAGGTTTATCAATTTTGTTTATCTTCTCAAAGAACCAGCTTTTAGTTTTATTGATCTTTGCTATTGTTCTCTTTGTTTCCATTTCATTTATTTCTGCTCTGATCTTTATGATTTCTTTCCTTCTACTAACTTTGGGTTTTGTTTGTTTTTCTTTCTCTAGTTCCTTTAGGTGTAAGGTTAGATTGTTTATTTGAGATTTTTCTTGTTTCTTGAGGTAGGATTGTATTGCTATAAACTTCCCTCTTAGAACTGCTTTTGCTGCATCCCATAGGTTTTGGATCATCGTATTTTCATTGTCATTTGTCTCTAGGTATTTTTTGATTTCCTCTTTGATTTCTTCAGCAATGTCTTGGTTATTTAGTAATGTATTGTTTAGCCTCCATGTGTTTGTATTTTTTACGTAATTTATTTCTAATCTCATAGCACTGTTGTCAGAAAAGATGCTTGATATGATTTCAATTTTCTTAAATTTACCAAGGCTTGATTTGTGACCCAAGATGTGATCTATCCTGGAGAATGTTCCATGTGCACTTGCGAATAAAGTGTAATCTGCTGTTTCTGGATGGACTGTCCTATAAATATCAATTTAATCAATCTGGTCTATTGTGTCATTTAAAGCTTGTGTTTCCTTATTAATTTTCTGTCTGGATGATCTGTCCATTGGTGTAAGTGAGGTGTTAAAATCCCCCACTATTATTGTGTTACTGTTGATTTCCACTTTTATAGCTGTTAGCATTTGCCTTATGTACTGAGGTGCTCCTACGTTGGGTGCACCCAACATAGGAGCACCTCAATACATATGTGCTGGGTGCACCTATATATATTTATAATTGTTATATCTTCTTCTTGGATTGATCCCTTGATCATTATGTGGTGTCCTTCCTTGTCTTTTGTAACATTCTTTATTTTAAAGTCTATTTTATCTGATATGAGTATTGCTACTCCAGCTTTCTTTTGATTTCCATTTGCATGGAATATCTTTTTCCATCCCCTCACTTTCAGTCTGTATGTGCCCCTAGGTGTGAAATGGGTCTCTTGTAGACAGCACATATATGGGTCTTCTTTTTGTTTCCATTCAGCAAGTCTGTGTCCTTTGGTTGGAGCATTTAATACATTCACATTTAAGGTGATTATAGATATGTATGTTTCTATTACCATTTTCTTAACTGTTTTGGGTTTGTTTTTGTAGGTCCTTTTCTTCTCTTGTGTTTCCCACTTAGAGAAGTTCCTTTAGCATTTGTTGTAGAGCTGGTTTCGTAGTGCTGAATTCTCTTAGCTTTTGCTTGTCTGTAAAGGCTTTACTTTCTCCAACAAATTTGAATGAGATTGTTGCAGGGTAGAGTAATCTTGGTTGTAGGTTCTTCCCTTTCATCACTTTAAATATATCATGCCACTCCCTTCTGGCTTGTAGAGTTTCTGTTGAGAAAGCTGTTAACCTTATGAGAGTTCTCTTGTATGTTATTTGTTGTTTTTCCCTTGTTACTTTTAATAATTTTTCTTTGTCATTAATTTTTGTCAATTTGATTGCTATGTGTCTCGGTGTGTTTTTTCTTGGGTTTATCCTGCCTGGGACTCTCTGCGCTTCCTGGACTTGGGTGGCTATTTCCTTTCCCATGTTAGGGAAGTTTTTGACTATAATATCTTCAAATATTTTCTCGGATACTTTCTCTCTCTCTTTTTCTTCTGGGACCCCTATAATGGGAATGTTGGTGCGTTTAATGTTGTCCCAGAGATCTCTTAGGCTGTCTTCATTTCTTTTCATTCTTTTATTCTTTATGCTGTTCTGTGGCAGTGAATTCCAACTTTCTGTCTTCCAGGTCACTTATCCATTCTTCTGCCTCAGTTATTCTGCTATTGATTCCTTCTAGTGTATTTTTTATTTCAGTTATTGTGTTGTTCATCTCTGTTTGTTTGTTCTTTAACTCTTTTAGGTCTTTGTTAAACATTTCTTGCATCTTCTCGATCTTTGCCTCCATTCTTTTTCCGAAGTCTTGGATCATCTTCACTATCATTATTCTGAATTCTTTTTCTGGATGGTTGCCTATCTCCACTTCATTTAGTTGTTTTTCTGGGGTTTTATCTTGTTTCTTCATGTGGTACATAGTCCTCTGCCTTTTAATTTTGTCTATCTTTCTGTGAATGTGGTTCCCGTTCCACAGGCTGCAGAATTATAGTTCTTCTTGCTTCTGCTGTCTGCCCCCTGGTGGATGAGGCTATCTAACTAATCATACGTTTCTTAATCATAATTTTTGAAAACTGGTTCATAGAGAAACAGATATAGTTATCAGCAAGTCACCTGAGTCTGTACTTTAGATTTATTTGGCTGTTTACAATTTTTTTTTAAATTGACAATCCTACTGCAATGTTCTCTTTAAGAATTAAAACTTGGGAAAAGATATGTTCACCCTTATTACATTCTGATCCTGTCTCACCTTAACTCATCCCTGTAGCAGTAAAAAGCATTGTTTAATTAGATTATTTGTTTGTACTTTTGTGTATGAACAGACTATCTGAATTCTCTTAAAGGCAGAAACACCACCAACCCTGTGAAGGGTTTAACAGACCACAGTGGAGATTTAACTCAATTTATATATGTTGATTTAACTCAACACATTTTTTACTGGCTTATAAGCTAAAAATTTTTAGAAAACAGGGGTAGTGTGTTAATTTTAATAAAAACCTGCATGAACAGCAGCTACCATAATGCTGCCCACAGTGGGCCAGATTGGGAGCTTGAGGTTGCATGTGCACACAATCATCCAGCGAAACATAAGGATTATTTCCCCATTTTACGGATAAGGAAACAAGGCATGAAGAGGTTCCATAACTTGCCCAACGTGGCCTCATAGTAAATGGCAGGGCCAGCCATGAGCCTGGCTCTGACCAGTCCACTAGCCCAGTGGGTCTCTTCTGCAGGGACTGGGTTCTTACTCAGCACTTAACAGGACCTCTAAGAATGAAGAAAGTAAAACAGCTTCCCAAGGCCCTGCTCTCTTGCAGGTGGTGGCTATCGTTGGGTTATTTGCTAATATTTACTAAGTGCCCAGATTTATGCACTGGCACAGAGGGTAGCGCCATAAGCACAGACGTTGATCTGCAGCTCATACTCTGGGATCATGTCCTAGGGAATGTCATCCAGGTTTTGGAAGTGCAGACTCTTCAGTTATAGGAGCATGAGGCACAGGAGACCCCTCCCTCAGAAGCACGTGGGAGGAGGCTTTCTGGCTCTCTATCCCATAAACTTCTCACTAAAACAGCTGGTTGGGACATTCCATTTGGTGAAGGCTCCTGGGATAAGTATGCTTTCAAATATTCCTTTTGCACAATGCCATGATTGATAAAAGTTTGCCTCTAAGTTAGTTCTACAAGAAAATCAAGGCAATCAATAGCTAATGAACTCAATTTTTCATAACGAAGAGGGCAGGAGTGGGAGAGCCTGACTACTTATAATGCACTGAAAACCCACAAAACTAAGTTTAGTCAATAGCTTCATGATCCTCCCCCATTAATTAAATCTATTTTAGAGAGCTCCTTGGCTAAGCTTCAAGTGGATGGATTTGAAAGTAACTGGCCCACCTCGTTTTCTGGTGAAGAAACAAAAAAAACCTGAAATTACCAAAGAGTAGGCAAAGGACTTCTGCAGGGAGAAATGGACAGCTCACCAAAGAGCTCATCTGTATATTCAAGAACTGATGATAAATATGTCCCCCTGAAACCAAGGATCATAGCATTGTCTAGGTGAATCATAATTCTCCTTTCAATTATGAAATAATACTTGTACTTTATAGACACTAATTAGCTTGCTGTCCAGTTACAGTAAACAGGTGACTAGAGCAGGAAGTGGTTACTTTCTGGAAGACCTCTAACAGTGCTATCTTTGTCAAAAGCAGATTTCATCATCTGCTGACCTATGGATGTATGAGCAGCTGAAGCCAATTTAAACAGTACCAGCTAAGCCACTGTTTTTGCTAAATAAAAATTATGTTAATGACTACATTATTGTCTACAACAAACTTATTAGTAACATGAACTTACTTGTCTGATAGTTCAAATGAGGATACATTCACTGCATCATCAATTAAGGATAAATTCACTCTAATTCCTCCATGTTTCCATAGTTCAGCATAATTCATTGACAGCAACAACTGACTTACTCAACAAAGGGCCCAGGAAGAGGTAGAATATAACACTTTTCTAAATATACACAGGCTACCATACGACCCAGCAATCCCACTACTGGGCATATACCGTGAGAAAACCGTAATTCGAAAAGAGTCATGTACCACAATGTTCATTGCAGCTCTATTTACAATAGCCAGGACATGGAAGCAACCTAAGTGTCCATCGACAGATGAATGCATAAAGGAGATGTGGCACATATATACAATGGAATATTACTCAGCCATAAAAAGAAACAAAATTGAGTTATTTGTAGTGAGGTGGATGGATCTAGAGTCTGTCATACAGAGTGAAGTAAGTCAGTAAGAGAGAAACAAATACCGTATGCTAACACATATATATGAAATCTAAAAAAAAAAAAAAAAAAGGTCATGAAGAACCTAGGGGCAAGATGGGAATAAAGATGCAGACCTACTAGACAATGGACTTGAAGACACGGGGAGGGGGAAAGGTAAGCTGGGACAAAGTGAGAGAGTGGCATGGACACACACACACTACAAAATGTAAAATAGCTAGCTAGTGGGAAGCAGCCGCATAGCACAGGGAGATCAGCTCGGTGCTTTGTGACCACCTAGGGGGGTGGAATAGGGAGGGTGGGAGGGAGGGAGACGCAAGAGGGAGGAGATATGGGGATATATGTATACGTATAGCTGAATCACTTTTTTATAAAGCAGAAACTAACACACCATTGTAAAGCAATTATACTCCAATAAAGATGTTAAAGTAAATAAATAAATATACACAGGCTAAAAGTTTCCTGTTACAGTACCTCTCTTTCTCCCTCTGCCCCCATACCAAACTTTGCCTCCATATGCAGACTTAAGAAAAGTTCTGGGCAGTGGCCCCTTGGCAGCATGAGCTAAGGTCACCTCTTCCATTCTTGTTCTACAGGAAAAAAGCATCACATCCCAGCCTCATCCCAAGGTATCCAGCCTACACTGGAGCAAGGCAGATGTGCAGAAGTACCACCGCTAATATGATGTACGCCGAGGGAAGTAGATATAGCTGGACCATCTGAGGGAGCAAATACCTTCAGGACTCCTTAGTGAAAGGACCAAAAGGGAACAAGAAGCATAGAATGAACCTAGTAAAAACAACCTTCAAGTTTCTAAAAAGGGCAGTTTTCCCCCAAGTGTTCCATGTGGTCACTCCTAGGGAGAAGGCAGGAGGGAGAGACACCAAGGAGAATAAGGCCCTCAGGCAGCAACTCCAATGTTTAACCCTCTTGGTCTGTTCAAAATAGCTACAGAGAAGTGAAATAGTTATGGGGAAGTAAATAAATAAGAGCACAACTCAGCACTCTTTCAATTTGCACATTTCTTGCAGTTGGACCAATTCTGGCTAAATTCTTTAAGTCTGAGGCTTCGCCTAGCATCTTTTGGTTACCCTGGTCTTAAAGAAACCAGAGAACCTCAACATCTGACCCTTCAGCTAAATTCTAGATTTGGGGCCACCACAGTCTTGGAGGGTGGGATCCTAGGCTATTAGAAAGCTCCTGGCAACACCACAAGTTGCCCAGCCCAAAATTCCAAAACCTGTCTACTCCCCCAGAGAGCTAGAGCTCTGGGAGAGAATTAGAGCTCAGCTGCCCCGATTTCAAGATTAAGACACAGAGATTCAGATTGGTTCAATTATGTTTCCCAATGCTACGAATGAAGGGTGGGCAAGACATGCAGGTCTCCTAAACATTCTCAGTCCAATGGTCCTTTTCTGACATTATGGGAATTCCCTGGCGTCAATCAAAATGCCAAGTTGTTTTTATTGGGCTTAAACTCCAGGGGGAGGAAGGAAGGTTGTTAGAAGAATATCTCAGCATTTTTAAGAAATCCAAAGGCCTTTGCAAGGCCCTACATTCAACTGTGTTTGGCTACCTCACCTAAAATGCAAGGACAGTTCTGCCATTTTAAACCATTGAGAGACTCACACCAAGGGGAATAAACAGTACTGGAAAAGACATTACTGGGCCTTCAGAAAGGGAGGCGGGAACCTCTCTGAATGTGAACCTCTTCCACAATCCTACCTTTGTATGTTCATCTAAGCTGGGGGTTGCTAGGCAGATACAAGTTAGGGTATTTAATCATAATCTAGAGGTAACTGCCATAGATTCAAATAGAATCTTAGAACATTGAACTACATAAAATTTGATTCACTGTAAATAAAATCTTAAATTATAACTTTGTATAAGGTTTTTAAAAAGCAATTTTTTTCTTTATAGTTTTTCTGGTGAAATATTTGTTCAGACAGTCAAAGAGTTAAACAATTCAGTTCCACAGGAGAAAAAAAAAAAAAAACCACATTAACTGTATAAAGTTTCACGCTACTTAGTTTGTTACAAATGCATCCTTTTGGTTTTGAAAAAATCTCACTAAACTTCTATGGTGACTTCCAGGATTTCAGTCAGGAGTGACAAACTTTAAGACAAACAATTATGAACCAGAATATCATTTCTCTCTGAGGCTACAAAATGATCAGCTGGGGTCAGAGAGGCTGGTTCCAGGGAACAAAGCTCTCCACAGGAACCGTAACACACATGATTAGGAGAATCATTTTGCCACATGACAGTTTGGAAGCCTGGCCAGAAGCCCCACAAATTCCACAATGGGAACGCTCAATGCTTTTCCGAAAGAACAGAATCAACACTTTTTAAAAGGACAGGAGATTCAATTCACATCTTGGCCTCTGCAGTTCTCACTAAAGAGCGGTAAAGTCTTAGATATAGGAAAGAATGCAAGTGTACTTGATCCTTTGGGTTGCTCTAATCCCAAAAAGTGACGGTCAGGACAAGCTCCAGCCTCACTGCAGCAACCTGACTAGGGGCCAAGAGTCCCCAGGCCTGGCCAGTGCCTCTGGCTTCTTTGTCTCCACAGCCTCTGTGACAGGGAAGGTCCTCCTTTTGCTCTGCAGAGCTCCAGCCAAGGAAGACTCAGCAGCAGTCACAACAGGGCAGGAAAACAAGCACCTTCCCAGCAGTCCTTCCACTCTCCCGGAACCTTTTATGCAACCAGCACGCACTGGAACATTTGCACAGCATCCTATTTCTGTAAACCTAATAATATTTTTAAACACGCTGGAGGAGGAGACTCCATGGAAGAGGTCTGTGAGGAATCTTTCTATAAAGAGAAATTTGTGCCGTTTTTCAAAAAAATCGTTCCTTGTTTGTCTCAAAAATTCCTGATTTTCTTACATACACTAGACAGACTAGAGAGAGTATGTGTGGCATAAATTTGTTTATCTCAGGGTCAAGCTCAAGATGACAGATGATGGATATGTGCTGTAACCCCCCACAGGGAGTACTTGTACATATCATGCTGGTCACACTGGGTATCAGTCATATCAAGCTGGAACCAATGACTTGCAAAATGCATCCCAGGTAACTTACCTGAAACATTGGATAGGTCAAGAACGTCTCCAGCATCCTCCCCTCACAGGCAGGGTTAGCTTCGTACTGTTTTAAGAGTTTGTCAAAATCTCTGTTTTGCTTACAATTGGCGAGCACTTGGAGGCTGTACTGGTGATTACGCACAAATTCTTGATAAATGTTCAGCATGGGGAGCAAAATATCAAACAGATCAGCTGGAAAGAAGAAGTAAACATGGCAGTTTCTCTTGATGCTCTGTAAATTACCCAAGGTACAGGGAGAAACTGTTCACTCCGCAGGGATGGCAGAGAGCAGCTCCTGGCACCAGGTGTCACACTCCATGGCCCCAGTCCAGCTGCCTGAATGACTGACCTGGTAGAACACACCTCACAGGAGAGACCAACTCTAGCCCCCAAAGAACCATGACGGGCCAGGGGAAAGGATCAAAAGGGCAATGAGCCAGAGTCCCAGTGCCTGAGGAAGCTCACAGATCATTACAGAAATTCAGACAGCTTAGGGCGAATAACATTGAAGCTATTTTACTCTAACTGTAGCCATATTAAGAGAAAATCTTCTCTCTCTAAAGCATGGACTTACCTAAAATTAAAGTAGGCCAATTGGCTATCCTTGCCTTCAGTCCTTGATGAAAGATTTCATGAAGAAACATGATTGTTTCACTATAAAATATGAAAATATAATTTAGTCACTGCAAAGAGTCCATTTTGTTAAAGAAGTCCATTGAGGCCTTAAATCCTTAATAAATACATGATATTCATGTCTCTGAGGGCCTCCAAACTATACACCCAATAATGACATAGATTATACCAGCTCCCACAAAGCAATTTATCTTTCAGACAACCTGAAAACCTCAAAGAAAATTCTGAGCTAAGCCTCAAATGTTGAAAGATGGTAAGCACCAAATCACTGTCATATAACCCTCTTTATCGATTTATAATAAAAACAGCTTTCTACTGTTAGGATGTAGCCCTTCTTCACCAGATAATCAGAAAATTAGTTATGATCCTTCTCTCTTCAGATTTAATTCTAGATGCTAACTCGGGGAAAGCTCTCTTTAACTAAAATGAGTGTTGACAGGAGAGAGGGGAAAAGACTTGACAGACCTCTACCGTTACGACTCCTAAGACACCCATGACAGAAATGTAGAGGAATCTTCTAAAAAGGATGGAGCCTATACAGATACACTAAACTGAAGAGATACATACACATAAATTAGAGATCCAGATTTCTAAAAGGTTCAGGAAGGGTAGTTACCAAAGGAACATTTGCTTTCTCCTCACTAGAAGAAAGGAGAACATTTGCTTTCTCCTCATTCCTACTGGAATGAGCCTTTGAAGGCTTTTCTGAACTACCACATCAGCACAATCAAATACAGGATTATTCATGTCAGTGAAATACTTTGGTTTGTTGTAAGTCCAATTCCACTACAAGAAACCAACGGGAAGTCCCTACTATTTCCAAATGGTCCATGAAACACAATAGACACTGCTTGAAGACTGTGATTTGTTTTTCTTGGATAGAAATTTTAACTAAGCAGTGTTTGTTGTTTAATGATTTCAACCAAATCTAGTTTGGTAGATACTGTAGATTAGTCTTTCAATCTCCATTCCATCCCCCTTCTAGGTGGAGAGGATAGAGAGGTGAAACTACATTTCCCAGGCTCCCTTGCAGATAGGGTTCTAGATGTAAATTCAGTTCCACCCATAGATGCACTTGGTAAGACATGGAAGGCATTACATTTTTTAAGTATAAACTCTGTGTTGAAATTCAAAATAATTGATCTGCCTAGGCCTTCGATTTCAGAGGCAAGGAAAGAGAATGTAGTTAAACAACAGAAATGACAACAAACATCTGATAAGCCTCACCTCTAAAAACATAACTCTTCAAATCTCCATCTGGGACCAAGTATAGTAAATAATTGCTAATTTGTAAGAAGAGCTTATAGCTTTCCAAAAAGAGGCACAGCTATCTTTTTTTTTTTTTTTTAGTGGTACGTGGGCCTCTCACTGTTGTGGCCTCTCCCGTTGCGAAGCACAGGCTCCAGACGCGCAGGCTCAGCAGCCATGGCTCACGGGCCGAGCCACTCCGCGGCATGTGGGATCTTCCCGGACCGGGGCATGAACCCGTGTCCCCTGCATCGGCAGGCAGACTCTCAACCACTGCGCCACCAGGGAAGCCCGAGGCACAGTATCTTGATTCAGAATTTAAACAATATGACAGACCTGGCCTTCCACATTGCAGATAGGAAATCCAGTGGAAACATCCCTAGAGGCAGCCTAAGACCAATGTGGTACAGGTTTTGATGGCATCACTATCAGAGTACATTCACAATTCTGTCCATTGCCATTAGAAATGTTAAAACTGCATACTTAGGAGACTGAAGTATCATCAAAATGCTACCTGTATAGCTTGAGGATTAAGAGCTACCCCTCATTCCCTTAGGACATCTCACACACTTGAGTGGAGCCACTGCCGCCCAACGTGGGGAAACCTCGCAACAGAAAAGCTTAGATTTTAATCTTATGCTATCAGACTACTGCCCATCATCCTTCCATTTTCCAGTCTTCTACAGACCCCCAGCCACTCTTTTAACTCCTTGAGCTCTTAGCTCCCCGATCACTGTCAGTCCTTTCGCCAACACTACTCTTGTCATAGTTTTTGGTGACTGCAATATGCACACAAACAACATTCCAATGACATAGCCTCTCTCGGGTCTTTGAACTTCTTCCTCTAAGGATCTTGTCTTCCATTGACCTCAGTCAACACTACCTTAATTGTACTCTAGACCTTGTCATTGTCAATAACTGCATCCCCTTCCCTATCTCAGTTTCAGGTACACTATTCTACGACCATCTCCTTATCTTTGAGTTCATTGCCTTTGGAAACCTGACTCCCAAAATCCCTTCCCACCACCAGGACCTGAATCCATTGATCCTGCCACCTTATCGCTGACCAAAACCCCTTCACATCATTTCCTTCTTGGAACAGTTTAGATTCCATGGCTCAATGTTATAATCCCTTCCCTGCATACACCTTCAACTCCCTTCTTCTTTTCTCACTTCATCATAGTAATCTTGCACAATACCAGTACCAGTTAAACCCAACCCTTCACCCACTCTGCACCTGCACCCATGCAACTGAAAATGGCTAAAGACTATGCAGCTATTCACTGTAAAGTCATAACCACGAGCCTAATATGGGCTTTTAGCGCTACCTAGCAGTTATATTACACTTCCCTCATCCCATCCATTCAGTTTTTTGCTCGTTGATCACTATTTTACACTTTTTCCTCTCTTCCCTGACCCTAACACTTCCCTTCCATCAGCACTGTTACCCGATGTCCTTGCTTCCTACCTGCATATGAGTCCAGTACTATTCCTTCCCTGTCCACCTAATTCCAATCTCTTGACTTATTCACCACATTCCATCCACTTCTGCCTATGCAAGTTTACTGCTCCAGCAATTATGTCCTCTCTTTCCTACATCATTCCCCCCCTCATTATTGGTGTCATTTTTATCCCATCTAAACACACACACACACACCCCTTTATATTTTTACATTTACTTCCAGGTATTACCCTGTTTCTCTGATCCTCTTTACAGCAACCCTCCTTGAAAGAGTTCTCTCTACTAATTCTCTCCAATTCCAATTCCCCTATTATCACCTAATCAGGCTTCCATTAAACTTCCATTTAACTTCCATTAAAGTTACCAATATGCTCCAAGTTGTTAACCCCGCAGTCAGTTCTCAGTTCTTATTTTATTTGACCTTTTTAACACAGATGCTCATTCCCTCTTGCCTTGGCTTCCAGGACAGCCCATCTCCTGGTGTGCATCCTACTACCCTAGGTGATCCTCTTCATTCTCGTTTGATGGCTCTTCATAGTCCTAACCTCTAAATGTTGGCATGTCCCAGGGTTCATTCCTTGGTCCTCTTCTCTCGTTCATTTGTGCTTACTTCCTTGGTAATCTCATTCAGACTAACAGCTTTCAATACTATCCATATGCTAGTAGACTCCCAAATTTATACCTCCAGCCCTGAAATCCAGACTAATAGCCAATGCTGCTCACTTGATTTCTACATCTGGAATGGCTAACAGCATCTCAGACTTGACAGGTCAAGATAAAAACTCTGCATCTTTTCTGCTAAACCTGTTCTTATGTCAATCTTCCCCACTTAATAAATAGCAACTCCATCCTTCTAGTTGTTCAGGTCAAAATCCTTGGACTTTTCTGCAAAATCCACATCAAACTCACCAACAAATCTTATTGGCTCTACATTAAAAATATACCCAGAATTCAATCACTTATCACTACTTCCATTACAATCATCTCTTGCTTAGACTATTGCAATAGCCACCTAACAGGTCTCCCTGCTACAGTCATCTCTCACCTGGTTTATTGAAATAGCCATGAAACTGATCTCCCTATAGTCTATTCTCAACAGAGAACCCAGAGTGAACTTTTAAAACGTAAGTCATATCACACTACTTTTCTCCTCAAAACCCCACCAATCTCTCCCCATCTCATTCAGAGTAAAAGCAAACATCTTTACAATGTCCTACTGTTATCTCTCTGACATGCCCCTTCACCCACACTGACCTTGGCAGTTCCTCAAACAAGCAAGGCTGGCGTGCTCCAGCCTCAGGCCCTCTGCACAGGTGGTCTCCTCTGTTTGCATCACTCTTCCCCCAGGTAGCCACATGGCTAGCACCAACTGAAATCTCTGCTCAAATGTCAACTTATCTTTGAGGCCTTCCTAAAGATTGGCTAGAGAAACTATGGGACATTCACATAATGTAATAGCATGTAGTAATTTTTTAAAAAAATAGAATGCTCTTTAGATAGCAGTATGGAAAGATGTCCAGGATATATTAAGTGAAAAAAGCAGGTATATATTAAAGTACTTGCCTTTTGTGTAAGAAGGGGGGAAACAAGACTGTGTATTCATGTTTGATTGACCTACATCAAGAAACACTGAAAGGATATAAACAAAACTAATGAAAACAGTTACAGATAGCAAGTGAGGAAAATGGGGTGGGCAGAGACAGAGTTAAGAGTGAGACTTCTAACTGCTGTTTGATGTTTTCACGTTGTTAAATAATTTTTTGAACCATGTAAATGTATTATCTACTCAAAAACAAATAGATAACTAAAATTTTAAGTAAAATATCCAAGCAGTCCCTTTCCTCCCTTCTTCCCTTTCCTTCTTCATTTCTTCCACAGCACTCATCACCATATAAAATACTGCATCTTACACTTATTCACTATTCATTGTCTATATTCCCACATCAAAATTTAAGTTCCATGAAGGCAGGGACTTTCTGCTTTGTTCACTGATGAATTCTCAGCAGTAAAGGCACTATAAATATTTATTGAGCAAATAAATTTCCTAGAGATTCTCAGGCCCTGTGTCAGTTTTTGTTCTTCCTAAAGTACTTCTGTATAGATTACATGTAAAGACCCGTTAATCACTCCATTTCCCTCAGTTTATGAAGGAGAGAATCTTCCCCAGCACACAACTCAATAACAAGAAAACATACGTCAAATAGAGAAGAAAAAGAGAAAACTAGATGCCAAGATTCAAGATAAAGATATGAAAATTGAGGGGCTTCCCTGGTGGCGCAGTGGTTGAGGGTCCGCCTGCCGATGCAGGGGACACGGGTTCGTGCCCCGGTCCGGGAAGATCCCACATGCCATGGAGCGGCTGGGCCCATGAGCCATGGCCACTGAGCCTGTGTGTCCGGAGCCTGTGCTCCACAACAGGAGAGGCCACAACAGTGAGAGGCTCACGTACCGTAAAAAAAAAAAAAGATACGAAAATTGGGGGTAATAATGAAACGCCAATGATAGCTTTCTTATTTTCAATATCATAAGCTCAAAAAAGTGAATTTATAACTCTTCTTTTAAGTAAAGTAAAAATTCTTTTAAGAAACACAAGTAGGTTTTTCACACAGCTCTTTAATTTATGCCAAGACAAACCTGTTGAGAAAAATACTGCTGACATCATCGTGGCTGATGGGAGGCTTCTTGGAGCTGGCCGCCATGCGCAGGGGCCGCAGGAAGCCGTTGACCAGGATGTAGAGCTGGTGAACGTACTCCGACTCGGCCTCAACCATGGTGAACACAATCTGGTTTCTCTTCCTCATACTTTCAGCATGAGGGGAACAAATGTAATCCTGCACAATGGTCTTCCATTTCCTTCTACATAACCATCCTCGCATGAAGCTCTGAACCTACAGAACAACAACAACAAAACAAAAAACAAAACAAGAATCTCAGGGCGGTGTGAGACGGCTTTCTTAAGCCAGTCAGTGGGGTGTCCATCCTGTGCCATACACACACCCTGCTCTTGCATTGGTGCACTCGTGAGCCCACCACCAGAATAAATAATGTCAGGCTTTGGACCAGATAGCAGAAAAAAGATGATTTTAAAATAATATTTTTCTCAGCTTCACAAGTTTCCTCCACTGTTTAAGCTGTTTAAGTCTGCCTATAAGGACATCAGAAATTAGTAATATCACATATTTAGTTGTTAACATTTCAAGAAAGGAATAAACTAAAGGTTTACTCTTTAACAACATAAAACCAGATATTAAAAATTTTTTAATTGTGGTAAAAAAAACACACATAAAGTTTACTATCTTAATAATTTTTAAATGTATAGGTCAGTAGTGGTACGTATATTCACATTGTTGCAGAAACAGATCTCTGGAACATTTTCATCTTGCAAAACTCAAGCTCTATAACTAATTAAACAACAACTCTCCATTTCCCCCTTCCTTCAGCCCCTGGCAACCACCATTCTACTTTCTGTTTTTATGAATTGAATTACTTTAGGTACTCATATAAGTGGAATCATACAGTATCTGTCTTTTTGTGGCTGGCTTATTTCACTTAGCATAATGTCCTTAAGGTTCATCCACATTGTAGCATGTGTCAGGATTTCCTTCCTTTTTAAGGGTGAATAATATTCCGTAGTATATATGTACAACATTTTGTTTATCCGTTTATCTGTTGATGAACATTTGGGTTGCTTCCACTTCTTGGCTATTGTGAATAGCGCTGCAATAAACACAGGAGTGCAAATATCTCTTCAAGATCCTGCTTTCGATTCTTCTGGATACATACCCGGAAATGGGATTGCTGGATCATATGGCAGTTTTATTTTTAAATTTTTGAGAAACCACCATACTCTTTTCCATAGCAGCTGAACCACTTTACAATCTCACCGACAGTGCAAAAGGATTCCAATTTCTCTGTATCGTCATCAGTACTTGTTATTCTGGGAGTTTTTTTGATAGTAGCCATCCAAGTGGGTGTGAGGTGATGTTGCACTGTAGTTTTGATTTGTATTTCTCTGATGCTTAGTGATGCTCGTCATCTTTTCATGTGTTAGTGATTTCTCTAAAGAATCACCTTTGAGAGAAATGTCTATCATCTTTAGAGAAATGTTTATTCAAATCCTTTGCTTATTCTTAAATCGGGTTTGATTTTTGGTTATGGCTGAGTTTTTTTAAAATTAAGCTTAAAAAATAAGTGTTAGAGTGCTTCCCTGGTGGCGCAGTGGTTGAGAGTCCGCCTGCCGATGCAGGGGACATGGGTTCGTGCCCCGGTCCGGGAAGATCCCACCTGCCGTGGAGCGGCTGGGCCCGTGAGCCATGGCCGCTGAGCCTGCGCGTCTGGAGCCTGTGCTCCACAACGGGGGAGAGGCCACAACAGTGAGAGGCCCGTGTACCGCAAAACAAAACAAAACAAAACAAACAAACAAACAAAATATATATATATATATAAGTGTTAGAGATCAGTTCATAAGACCCCTTCTTTTTACAGATGAATAAACCTGAAGGCCAAGTCTAGTTGCAGCTTTCCTGTGTGGTTAGTCACACAGGAATGACTTGGCCTTCCTATACCTGCTTTTTGTTAACTATAAGGACTCTCTTTTCCAGCCACATGGGCAAAACACATGTTAACAATTTACAATGGTGTTATTTTGTGGAAAAACAAAAACAAAACAAAAACAAGAAATAAGGCTTAAGATCAATTTTGTAGGAACATGAAAGATCAATTTTGTAGGAACATGAAAGACTCTAAAATTGATCTGAATTCCCTAGATATGATTTGAAAAATAACAGGCAAACTGGACAAAGTGCACTGGCCTTTGCATTTCAGCCGACGAACATTTACTGAGTGTCTTTTAAATGCCCAAGTAAATGCTGGGTGCTAAGCAGATAGGTGTATGTCATAATCCTTAACCCAAAGGCTCTGCTACTAACCTGCTGGGTGAACTTGAACTCTGGGCTCCATTTCCTTATCTATAAAATAACTGACCAAAATATCTGAAGTCCTTTCTAAATATTAAAAAAATTATATGATAATTTATTAGGATTTGTTATATCTAAGTGGCAGATTCAGCAACAAAGCAGGTTGCAAATTCATATATAATTAAAAGCATTATATTACTACCAAATATATTTTTTAGTATCATTGTTTTCTTTTCAACACATTCTTATACTTTCTATTTTTTTACACTATTTCACCCATATGGTCTAAATTATCATGCACTTAAACAACTATTCTTCTTTTGCAATATTTAAAATTCTCTCATTTACCAACTGATGTCAGCATACTATCAATTTGTACAACAGGCATTCATACAGTTGCCATACCTCAAACAATAAAAATTAAACACATCTTAGTAGAATTATGTGGAGGAAATTATATGCATATTATTTGGAGAAATCTAATGGGAAATTTCTGTGAACCAATTTCAATTTTTGGTCTCTTGAAGTAAAAAAATTATGTTGATATTTATCAAGATCAGAATAGAGAAACTAATTCATTTGTAAACATCCCTTTCCACACAGACATTAGTTTGACTGGGGACACGATGGACCATAGAGTTAAATTCAAAACCTATTTAACAAGTTCAAAAATGAGGTTTAAAAAAAATTATTTCTATTAAGAAATAGGAAGATAGAAACTATAAAAATTGTGTATTTTATCATTATTCCTCCATTTAACAGAAGTATTTTCAAAAATCAATTTAACTGAGTTTTGTGTTAAATAAAATCTTTCTATTTACTTGGGCATTTATTACCTGCTGAGCAAAAGCTGGCTTACTTACTATCAGTTTCTACAACAGGACTTTACTACAATTGTTATTTTACTGATACCTTTGTTTATAGGCAGCTGCATAAGCATTCATCTTGTAACAATAAAATAAAGCAAATTCAATTAAAAAATTTTTAAATTCTAAGAGAGGAATGTTGTTATTTTACTTTGTTATTTCTTGAAAACAGTGCAACTTAGCCATAAGCAGCATTTCTATTTCAAATTCTGAGCAATATTTAAAGTTTTATTGCAACTGAAGGGGAATAATTACTTAGCATGAGAAAATAGGAATAAGAAAAAATTTAGAAGAAATAAAGTTCTTCAACTGTGAAGCTTTTCACATAATGTTAAAGCTGAGTAAGTGCTTTTATCCAGGACAATTAAGATTATGGAACTCAAAATCAAGATGACATAAATCAAAGTAGACTAGAGTGAGTGCCAGGGTCTGGTTAATTGCAAAAGTTGTACAGTTGTAAATGACAATAAGGTGAAAAGAGCTGCTGATTATGTGGATGTTAAACAAGAAAGAAACAACAATAAACCAGAAACCTGAGCAGATGTATTGATTCAATCTCCTCACACGTTCAAAACAAAACAAAACAAAAAATTCTCTAAATAAGCACTGAAGACTAAAGCTAAAAGAAATGTTTTTGAAATGCAATTTAAAAACTACTCCCCCCAAATATAAAAGCAGCACAAAATCAGAAGGTTCAGCGGCACTTAAATAACCCAACTGGAGAACACTACTGTCTGGCTTCATGTCTGGCTTTGGCATCCTTCTCACAGAATCTACAAGTGGATTCTCAGAACTGGAAAGAAATCTCAAGCTGAAACTTTTCCAGAGAAGTAACCACGTGTGATCACTCTGAAGGGCAAGTCTGGGAGCCATCGGAAGAGAAATACCAAGATTGTTCCCAGCTCCCAGTCAGGGTGGCAAAGACATCACTACAGAAAGACCCCTGGTCACCACGCTCTCCCAAAGCTGGAAACCCCCAGCATCCTACCTTTTTAATCTTCTTGATGTCTGGATCCTCATCTTCTTGATTGCTTTGGTAAGGTCGCATTCGTTCCTTGGTTTTATTAAGAGCGATAATCTATAACACAAAATTGGTCCATATCATGATTTAGGAAATACTAGACTATAGCCATAAATCATAGGAAGTTATGCCTACAAGGTAGCTTATCCTCAGGAAATGTTCACTTTTTATGCACCTTATCTTCCTTCGGTGCTGAGGCAGGGGAAGCCTGAACTTCACCTCAAGCTTGTTTTGCTATGCTACTAACAAAAGTGCTTACAAGAAGTGACTGTGGAAAGTGTGAACTGGGATCTGGTTTAGAGAAATGTTAGTCCAAAACTGGGTCCTGACTGCCAGTGATGACCAGACCAAGGTCTTCTCAGCATCTCAGTGACATGTCAATCATCTCACCAAAGACAGCTTCCTGTAATGCCCTGTGATCTCCAAATGCAGTGACACAGCTCAAAGCTCTTGCTTCCTATAATCAGCCTGTGGCCTTCCAAGTACACACAGTATAGCACTCACAGATCTCCTTGGGAAAATGGTAACTGCAAAAGGAACTTTGGAGCCCAGGGGTTGGTCCAAGCCAGCCAAGAAAAGACCAAAAGGCAAAAAGAACTGAAACAACTTGGGATCTCTTTAAAGACCCAGCTCAGTTCTGTGACCTACGAAGGGGGACTCAAAACCAGGTAGCCTCTGAACTACACTTAGTAATGAAATTCCCTGGACTATCACTCAATTGCAGGCTCTTGCAAACTTAAGCACCTACTCAGATTTACTAACAAGGAAACACTTAAAACACTGGGGTTATAATTGCCCCCTCTGCCCTGTCTTTACATTTTGCCCCATTACCAAATACTCTCTTCTGCCATTTTTCTGGCAGGGAAGTGGGAAAATAAAAGGAGTAGGAAGTAAGTTATGGTTCCTGTCAATCTACCACACAAGACATACCTGCTACTGACAGTTTGTAGCTGCAATATATATTCAGACTAAAATAGAACAGAGTGAAGACAGAGAAGCACACACAAATAAATATTGGGGAACATCGCTTGGTGCTGAGTTCCTCTCATGGGGTAAATGCCAACCTCTTTCACTTAGCAGACAAGCATCTGCTCCAGCTAACTGTGGCAAAGACAGAACACAATAATTTTGTTTTAAATTACAGTGCCTGATATAGTCTTTTAAGATGCAGGTTTGTTAAGTTTTCTGTTGCTGTTTTCACTATCTCAGATTTCAGGGTTGGATCGGGAAGTTAACAGCACTAATGATACGGTGAACAGTCTGCAACTTATCATCATCAGAGAGGCAATCATATCCCAGCAGGAATCAGCTTATACCCATGCGCTATCTGCTGGAGGTGATGTACACAGGCGGCAGGAGGTGAAAACCCTCCCAGGATTTGCACAGTATGTCTTAGAAGAAGACGTGAGGAAATGGAGAAGAAAATGTTGAATGACAGAAAAACGACAAGAAGTTACCAAGGCTGAGGAGCTGCATTGTTTCTGTCAACAAGGATACAGTTAGTAGTAGTAGGTTTCATTCTGTCCTATTCTTTCCTTTGGAGCTAAGAAGACACTACTGCACCACTGGTCAAAAAGAGTAGAAAAACCTCACTTGCTACATTCCTCTTCAATTCTTCAGATATTGATCACTTCCCACAAGGAATGACAGGACAGCAAGGGAAGGTATACTCAGGTTTCTGTATACAGACGGAGACAACGGAGGACCCAGACACACCACCATGGCTGCTGGCTCCACGACCACCTTCTGCTCTCATTGGAGTCAGTCTCACTACCTGGGGTTGCAGAGCCTGAGGAGTTTTTAAACTTGGAGCGGGGCTGGAAGTGAATTCCAACTTCAGGAAAAAAATGCACCCTAGAATTATGTCTTATACTTTAACGAGTTTTTCAAAATTCTAGAGGGGGGAAGGTTGGACTCCTGAGCTTGAGAAAAAGTCAAGACTTTCCGAATTTACGTTTGGACCTGCCTTAGTTGTCATTTGGACTTTAATTGAATCCATGACAGACGCACAATTATCATTACCATGAGTCAATCTGAAAAACAGTTAAATATTACAGTCAATTCTTGAATAGTCAAGCAAATGAAGGCCATCAGGAGCACAAATAATTTAAAAGTAGCACTTTATCCTGATATTTAACTGTAGCATATTTACCTCATCCTAACGTAGGCAATACATTCACTTCTCATGCATGTGTTGATGGCAGAGGAACTAAATTTGGGATCAAAATTTTGCCCTGATAGGCCTTAAGGAATCATGAGGAGACGACAAGAAACATGAAACAATGAGGAGGAATCTATCAACTGGGAAATACCTCTGATTTAAGCCTTTCGATTTCTGTATCTTGATCTTCAAGTTGATGTCGGAGTTGGTTAGCTGCAATTTTTTCTGTCTCTACGATCTGAACTAGATGAATGTACTTCTGCATTAACACCTCCCTCTCAATCAAAATGTCTGCATAACTTAAGAGAAAATTACAGTTAGTCACTGAGATATTGTTCTACTACAGTTTCACACAGACAGCATATATTACATTTATTTAAAAAGAAGCCATAAACATAGTTTGTTAGCTAACTCTACTTTATGTAAACATTAATGTTTGGCTTACATTTGGTATCCTTTAGCTATACAGAATTTGAATCATCATCATCTTATATAACCTCTAGAAGAGTTCATTTAACGATGGCTGCGACCCACAACTTTGTCATATAAATGAGAAAGATGCAAAGAAAATCTATTGTTTTATAAAGAAAATAGTGGATCTCCTTTAACAAAAACTGAAGTCTTTGAATTGATGGCATATATTGAAACTCTTTTACTGGGTAAGGCACTAGCCAATCAGAACAGACCTGCTACCGAGCAGAATGAATGCAAGGACCGTCAGAACAGGCACTGGCTGGGAAGAACGATGATGACTGTACCAGTGACCACCAGCCCAGCCTGGCTCTCTTTAGAAGTATGAGACCGTTGACTTCTCTCTTTCCAAAACCAACAGAGGCAAAGATTTCATTCTAAAAATAAGTGTAGATTATTGGGCCCTAAAATCATCAGCCTAACTTGTGTATACTTCTTTGGCCAAGTGTGAAAAAGTCAGTTCTCTCTTAGAGTTTTTTATTGATCTCTGTGGCACCTAGATTTTTGCTTCCAGATCTTCTTGCACTATTCAGGGTAGCAAAATGTATGTTCCGCCATTCACATAATCTTTCCCAAATGCTATGATGATAGTAATAAATAATAATAACTATTTATTGTGTAGGATGTACCACATATATTCTCATTCTCCCAGCAACTCCAAGAGATAGGCTTTATCACCCCAATTGTACAGAGAAAGAATCTGACCCTCACAGAGGTCACACAGCTAGTAGGTGGTAGGGCTGGGATTCAAATCGAGGTCTGTCTGACCCTAAGCCCATGTTCTTAACCACAAGCTAAACGGTCTCTCTAATGAGAAACAGCACACTGGATATAAAGAAGAATATTACAACAGACATGTTTTGAGATATCTGCCCACTTGAGATATCTTCTACCCACTTACCTCTTCTTTGAGAACTTGGGCTGTGGCAGCCATGTTTATAACACAAAATCTGCCCTCATGACCACACTTCACTGGTCTAAAAAAAAGATAACTGGCCCAAGCTAAACAAACTGGATTCTTTCTCCTTGGAATCTCGGATTGTGCCTCTGACTTATTTGCTTGAACTGAGATGTTATGAACTTGGAAGCTGAGGTTACTACTGTTGGTTAGCTATATTTGGCCACACCCATGCCAAAGCAAAGTAAGTCTGCTGAGAGAGAAAAGAATAAGCAGATGTTCAGAAAAACAGAGCCAAGAGAGATAGAAAGGTAATAACTTCCTGGGTTCCTGTTGGCTTCTAGTTTTTGGTTCCAGACCCTCATGATATCTGAATATAATATTCCCCTTGGGTTTGGTGAGATACTATTGCAGTTTCCACCTAATAATTTCTCTTTTTAACCTAAACTAGTTTGAAATATCTTTGTGTTACCTGGAACTAAAAGAGTCTTAAGACAGTTCCAAAATCACAATTTTAGTTCAATTATCTCACATTCTCAGCACTTACATCACGTGTGCCATTAGTGTTAGAAAAAAAATACATAGTGTCAGCAATATTTTTAATTCACTTGTTCTAAGAAATTACCCTAAGAGAGCAGAAAGAAAGGCTGTGTAAGTGTAAGTGGGAAGAGGGGGAAAGAAGAAAAAAAGGGCACAGTCTTCACAGAAATATGCTTTAGGGTACTTTCAAAGGAGAAAGTAATAACAGAGCATGAGAAAATTAGTTAATATAATGAAAATTCTGCCCTTTCTCATCAATTTTATTAGAAACATGCCAAATTTCTTACAAATATGTTAGATCAGTGTTAGGGAGCAAACGAGTATTTTGTTTTCTCCTATAAAAAGAAAAAGTCCAGACCAGGATGTGCAGCTGAATTCATGCAGACTCATCACCGATATCTGCCTCCCTTCACTTCCAAGATCCCACTGAAATGCTAGGAAAATTGTTTTCTGTTTAAAGAATGAAACCATAACAGCATTATAAAACAGGAAAATATGCTGTCAACAGACCATAAGTTTCATGAAATTCCATAAAGAGAAAAACCAAGTAGAATCAGCGTGGTGGGAAAAGTAGAGCAAGGAAACCACACATGCAGACCCCTTGCAAAAGCATGGTTCCCACCAAGAATGGCCAGAGATGCTCCAAGCCAGAATCAACAAATACAAAGGACGGGAGGGGGTAAGGGAACGATCATCAGGGCCTTTCATTAAAAAGTGACTTCAGAACATCTAGAAGTTAGGTTCCTCCTCTTCCCATTCTCCAAGATAAAGAAATAAAAAGCACAACTGGCAGGAATGACATGCCCTCAAGTCACAGCCCAAGACCTGCTCTCTGTAGAAAGGGGGCCACCTTCCTGAAGAAGGCTCCTCATGGGGAGGCTAGACTCAGAGAGAACACAGCTTGGCTTTACACCACACATCCACTGTAGACAGAAGAGAGAACCAAAAAAGGAAAGGCACTGAAAAGGACTAGAAGTGAAATACACTGTATGAATTTTCTATTGTGCAACAAATTACCACAAACTTAGTGGTTTAAACAGCACATATGTATTATCTCAAAGTTTCCATGGGTCAGTTTAGCTGAATCCTCAGCTCAGAGTCTCATAAGGCTGCGATCAAGGTGTCAGCCCAGGTGCATTCTGTTCTGGAGGCCTGAATGAGAAAGAACCCACACCCACGTTCATGCAGGCTGTTGGAAAAAGTAATTTTCTTGCAGCTATACAACTCATGCAGTTTGCTTCTTCAAGGCGAGCAGGAGAGCATCTCTGACCTCAGGGAGGGCCTCCATCCCTCTTACATTTGATTAAGTCAGGCCCACGCAGGAAAATCTCCTTTTTAATTAACTAAAAAAGTCAACTGATTCAGGACCATAATTACATCTGCAAAACCCCTTTTCCTTTGCCATAGAATGTAACCTAATCAAGGGAGTGACTATCCCATCCTGTTTGCTATATTCTAGTAGCTGATAGCAAGTCACAGGGTCCACCCATGCACACTACAGGGAATAGAATCATACAAAGGGGAGTCCCAGCCAACCTTCCTGCTGTCTGCCCACATACCTGAAAAGGAAGCCTACACAAGTGGCAGAGACCCTACATTCACAGTCACAATGTAAACCCGGGCCAGCTACCTGTAATAACCCTCAAGATCCTTCATTTATAAACAAAGATCACTAGACACTTGAGAAAACCAATACCAAAGAGAAAGTAGTAGGCAGCATGTAAGATGACCCCTAGTGGTCCCTGCCTTCTGGTATTCATGCTCTTATGGAACCCCTTCCTCTTGAGTCTGAGCTGGACCTAAATGACTTACTTCTAAGGAACAGAATATGGCAAAAGTGATGGGATGGCACTTCAAGATCAGTTTACAAGGAGACTCTGGATTCCATCTTACTGGCCTTCTCTTGCTGTGTTGCCGGTTTGTGCTGGAAGCCAGTGCCATGTTGTGAGCTGCTGCACGGAGAGGCCCACATAGATGGAAACTGAGGGAGGCCCCCAGCTAACAGGTGATGAGAAACTGAGGTTTCAGTGCAACAACTGGTAAGGAAGTGAATCTAGCCAACAATCACGTGAGCGAACTTGGAAGCAGATCCTTTCCCTTCTGAGCCTTCAGATGAGACTGCAGACCTGGACGACACCTTGACTGTTGGCTTGCGACCTTAGGGCAGAGGCACCCAGCTAACTCGTGCCTGGATTCCCAACCCACAGACACTCTGGGGGACAATACATTGTTTATTGTTTTAGGAATTATGGAGTAAATTGTCAAGCAGCAAGAGTTAATAAATATAGCCTCAGATGAACACACAGAAAAGATACTAGAGAAACAAGGCTAATTCAGGTAACAAGAGGTTTATTATCTTCAGAGAGATACAGAAGGATAGTAGAGTCACAAGGCACAAAGGGGCTGCCATGGAAAAGAAGTAATCAGATAACAGGAAGAGTTCTTGGAAACAAAAACAATTATTAAAATTTTACAGGTCAATGAATGTGTTAACCAATGGCTGAAAACTAAGCTGGGTGGTTGCAGAGAAAAAGAACACTGAACAAAAATACAAAGAGATAAGAAATAAGAAAGACAACTGAGCAGCGTGGAGTACAGATCCAAGAGGTCTAAAAACTATCTTATGGAAGTTCCAGAAAGAAAAAAACAAAAACAGAGACTGTGATGGGGAAGAAATAATCAAGAAATCAAAGAAGACTTCCTCAAACTGTATAGGGTACAGTTTAAATAGAAAGGCTAATCCTAGATCAGCTCAGTGCTTTGTGACCACCTAGAGGGGTGGGACAGGGAGGGTGGGAGGGAGGGAGACACAAGAGGCAAGAGATATGGGGATATATGTATATGTATGACTGATTCACTTTGTTATAAAGCAGAAACTAACACACCCATTGTAAAGCAATTATACTTCAATAAAGATATTAAAAAAAAAAGGCTAATCCAAATTCCAGAGAGAATAAATGAAAAAAATTTAACACCCTGACACACCCTAGTAAAATATCAGATCTCTAAGGATAGAGAAAATGCATAAAAGCTTCCAAAGAGAAACCACAGGTTAGCTAAAGAAAGCAGCGAGTATCAAGATGATACACTTCTCATCAGTAACCTCGGATGCTAGATCACAATAGAGAACTGAAGGAAGATTATTTTGAACCTAAATTCCTACAGCCAGGCAACAAGTCAATCAATCAAGTGCCAGTTCAAGATAGAAAGAGTTTAGTAATGACCACGCTTACTACAGGAGAAAAATTATGAGTCTTTGCAACCAAACAAAACAGAAAACAAAGGCAAAATATGACAGGGAATGCAAGAATACAAACCTTTGATGAAGTAAAGGACACTAGAAAGAAATCAGAAGTAAATGCACGCAAGATGCTTCTTCAAGGAGCAAAT